GTATAGGTAGCGATTCGTGTCTGAAGGTCTCTTCTTTGCCAAATGCCCATCCTCTGATTCTCTCCGCCTTTCTGAGTTACTCTCTTCACCTTCTCCCACCCATTTCGATGTCGGAGGAGCTCCGAACCTTTATTTTTATCCGCCTTCCGCGGGCGAGATGCAGCAGTACTGTCAGCTGACCTCAGTCGCTTCACGAAGTGCTAAAGTACTCGTCGCAGGACATGGAGCCTGCGGCTGGGATGGGTGACACCCCCAATGTGCTTTCTAAGTGCGCAGGATATAGTGAGGGAATATTCAGGCCGTCCTGCCGCCGTCGGTAGGCCGTCTTGGCGTTGCTCCATTGATGCCATGATGTCGCAGCAGCGAAGCCAGATCACGAGCTCGGTGTGTGTGACGACCTGGGTATGGGGCAGAATTGCCGGGCGTGTCATTTCTGTTGTAGGGGGCGGGGGAAATAGCATGTACTTCGTACATGCGCAATCCTCTCGAGGAGCTCATGCCTGCAGTGGCAGAACACGACACAGATAGGCCCACAGCGAGACGGCCAGGGTGATTGCTGTGAAGAGGGTGATAAAGGAAGGCTGACACTCCGTGACAAGCAGCTTGCTGCTTCTGATACTCGTACACACATATGCACCGTGGCATCATGTGCTCCGTCGGCGATTGAGCATGCCGAGTTGCTACCGCTTGTCGACCAGGCTTCCACTCAAAGATACGCGCGATATGCTTCTCTGATGACCAGGAGGCGCTGTGTGGCTTGAGGGAAACAGAAGTGGAAGATACGGTTGGTTGGTGCTGTGTAATGGCTTGTATGTAGCCCACATTGGCTGGTTGATCAAGCAGCTGGTCCTGGTCAAGAGCGCCCAGGCGTCCTCTCCCAAGCGCCGCGGCAGCCCGCCGTAGAGCAAACGGACCGCAGCCCGCTCAAGTTTCCCAGTGGCCAGAGGGCGAGCAGAATCCTCCATGTCAGTTGGGGCGCAGTGTCATGCCACCACCGCTTGCTTCTGCCGACTCTGGGCTCTTACTCCCAGTTGACAATCATTTGCCGTTTGCTTTTCTTCCTCTGTCTCCTAGAAGTCTCGTTGACGAGGCACGTCTGTGACGAGACATGCAGCTTCACCGGCCCCGCACATGTGGATGAGCCTCGACCAAGCCGCGATTCTGTGTTGTCGTACATCGTGCCACTACGTCGTAGATGCTGAAAGAATCGACGTGCTAGCGATGAATGGGTCTACCTGTACATGTACAGCAGATGGGTACTGCGATTAGCATATCCACCTGGAGAGAGGGAAGAGTAAGTAGGTACTCGTTATACCTACGTCACACGCCAGATGCGTCCACCTATCTGGGTAGTATGTCCATAAATGGCCGACATGAGCATCCATAGGCATTGACTTACACGCACCATGTCGCTGCACACCGATCGCCTGTCAAATCGAAGGTCAGTTGAACGAGCTGCTGCTGTTCTATAGCACTGCAGCAGGACAAGTAGTGCCTGGGGACAGGCGAGATTCCCTGAGAGCCACCGTTGTTGTCCCAGGTTGGGCAAATAGCTGGCTCGCAAGCCGTCCAGAAGGCCAAGCCAACGCATACCTAGCTGCCTCGCACACCGCGCTCATCAGCCATTCGCGTGGCAGACCGTTACAACCGCGAGAGAAAGCTAGAGGGGCTGGACATGTCTGGGGTTTCACAGTGGTTGTCAACAGGTCTTGCGGTGACAGGGATTGGCCAAGCCTGGTGGTTCTCTGCTATTTTGCCTGTACTGACGTACCAGCTTGCGAGAAAGCATTGTCCATCACCGGAGGTTCAAACGGAGAGCGATGATAGCCAGCTGGCAGTCATGTGTCCGTGTCTGCGAAAACTGACAGAGGGGTATTCTTTCAGAGTGGTGCCCACTAGGATGTATAGCAGTAAAGGTGATGAGCCCAGTGCCTGCTCCGTGCCGTGCCACCGTTAGCTTGCAGGTTGATGGTGCGCACGCACACAACGGACATATCTCCTCCGTACTCACATGCGACATGCAGGCAGAGCATATCAGATGCTGGCACAATATCTGCAGACGAGGCAGGCAAAAGCGGCACTTCTGTAGCAGTCTGCATCGTGTTGGTACGGTGTAGGGGATCTTCCCCATGCTTCCCGCCCTTCCTCTACACCAGACTATCGTGAATCGTAAACGATTGCTGGGTGTAGGGAGCAGCGAACGAGGTCGGTTGATCCACCTGTTTGGAAGCGGACGTTCAGAGAGATGATACAAGTCAGGGCTGGTAGGTACGGACATGTATCCGCAATGGCACACGCGAGCGCATGCTACGCCCACTCCCGTCCAGAGAGCTCGGGTGCCGTGGTTGAATAGGTATATGTGCGTACATTGTCCTGTATCGGAGCGTTCGAGCCGTAAGAGTGCGTCTATCTTGGGACCTCCCAACATCGAATCGCTCTCGGGGCGATCAGAAATTCGTCCCCGAAGGCAACCCCAGCTTTTGATGCGTTCCTAGGCTCGGCACAACAATATCTCGAGCGCTCCGTACCACACCGTAAAAACATGCAATACCGAAGCGGCTACCAGCAGCAGGCCGTACGACCTCTGTAAAAATTCGTGCAGTTTGTCACCAGAGGCAGCACGGTGGCCCTGTCCAACGACAGCAGTGCAACTTCTGTCCTAACGTTTTGAAAGAGCTTGACGCCGCCTCTTGTCGAAGCAAGCAGCAAAGGGAATCACCATGGGCAAACCTGGGGGCCGAACCAAAGCACGCCGTCAAGAGTACAGTGCATATAGATAGGTAGGTGGTGATGACTAGGTAGGTAGAAGGGGAAGCGAAGGTGACGTTGTTCGTTGGGCGCAACAAACCGTCAACTGGCACGAAGGGGCCCGGCTGGGTGGCTTCATTGCTGCTTGCTATTCTTGTCAATCAGTTTATGCTCGTACCTGAGGCAAACCGTGCTACTACAACTACAAGCATACAACCACTCTCACCTTGCTTCTCCTGCCCTGCCGCTCCACTCCTCCCCCCCTTATTGCTCGTCTTCCCACCCCTCTCCCAGATTGGGGGCTTAAGGTGCTAAAAGAGGCCAGAAACCGAAGCGAAGCCACCATCACCATCACCATCGCAACCGCAACCGCGACCGCAACTGCAACGGCAACCACAGACAGGCCGGCTTAACCTGGCGAGAGCGGCCCAAGTCGTCGCTACACTCGGGCCTGGCGATGGGCTGCAGCAAGAGACAGGTAGACGAGACTCGTGCGTGAGGATGCTGGCCGGATGATCGCCATCGCGATGTCTTCGAGCTGCAGAGGCTCGGATTCATGGTCAGGTCATGTTGCTTCAGTTTGGGGTTGCACAAGCTGTGCACCGGAAAATACGGTGTACGGATACGGCGAACCAGCTTGCGGCAGTTGCGCGCACCGCGCCGCACTGCACTGCACCTGCCCAGATACGTCGCCGCTGAAAGAAGCGTCGTGTCCTGTCGCCAACCGCTCCTGCCGGGGTTGAGTTTTGTTGTAGGTAAGGTAGGCAGGCAGGATGTAGGCACGCATGTACATGTATTTATCTTTTTATCTCGATTTTATTCTATTTCGTACCATTTTGGGACTTTTTGTCCCCCAACTCGATGCTCTGCCGGCCCTGTCTTCCTCACCACTTCATCGTTCATCATCATCACCCACTCACTGACTTGTCCAGCAGTCCTGAACTGTCATCTCTGCTTCTTCCCTGTGTTTCTTTCTCGTTATCCCATCCCTTTTTTGTTCTTCAATTACTTCGAGAGCAACCTTTGGCACTCGTCTCTCGCCTTCCTGCATGCTGCTGCTGCTGCTCCTTCTGCTGCCATATTTGGATCACGCAGCAAGTACAGTACCAACTTACCTACCTTGCCGTTGCTACGACCTTATATCATCGTCATCGTCGCCGCCATCATCATCCTTTCTGCTCCTCCTCTCCACCATCTGACCCCTTGCCTGACTTCTCTTTCGGTTGGGTCCAAACGACATCCTGGCCCTGGCAAAATGCTGTTGCCCTGTCGCACTAGCAAGGTCAAGCTGTACCCCTTCGCGCACCCCCTCACTCCAGCTATGCTCACCCCTACCAGGTTCTACCCAGCAGGAGAGCAGGCTTGCCAAGTAGGTACCTGGCGTGTACCTGACGGACCTCGCTCTTCTCCCACTCGCTGTGCTGACTCGGGAGCCAGCCTCAGGCTAGGTGGATGAGTGCCCTGACCGGCCGGAACGCTAAGGGCGTGTGGCCCATGTCCTCTCGCAGGGCCTTCGAGGACGCCCCGAAAGCCCCACGGATGGATCCAAATCGCCCTGGCGCTCGACTTCGCCGCATTAATTCCTGTGCCAGGTGAAGGAGATCAACTTTGTTTTGGCCCGTTGCTTCTGCCCTCATGTCACCGCCCAACTCTAAGCTTGTGCCACCATGCCCGTCATGATTTCAGCTTATACCCCAGATGGCCGTCGCCGTCTTGTATTCCGGTACGTACTTCATAACTTCGTCTGCCACTACATATATCATCACTCTCCCACTCTCACCAGACGGCTCCTCCTCTCCTCTCTCCCAAGTCCTCTTACAAGACTGCCTCTCCCACCCAACCCTGTTCTCTTCTCTGATTTGTTTGGGGTTGCTTCATCTGTTCTTGTCCTACACTGGAGGATACACATATCACACATACCTGCTTGACCATATCCAATTCATATATCCTGTTCCCGTCGTCGCCTACTTGCCCAGCCAAAGAGACTGACCAGCGGCAACTATCTGCTTTTTCTTGAAGCAGCAATCAGCTCTTGCTCTGCAACTCGAGGCCCTGAGTCCGTCATTTCCCGTCGGATTGGTCTTTAGTAGACCTGCGCGTCTGATACGAGCTTCGTAAACCTTGTTGCTCGGCTGTTAGCTTTTCAGCAGCTTATTCCGTTTGTCCCGGCTTGACCAACGCACCCACCTTTCGACATCTTCCGAAGCTCAGGATCCGCCAATATGCGGAGGTCAACTTCCGTCCCTCGCCCTCGGCGTCGCGGCTCTGCTGCCCAACGCAAGGAGCCGCTGCCGCCCTTTCCAGTCCAGCAGATGTTTGTGCTAGGTAAGCATCTATCACTTTGACCCTGGATGCACGTGGTGGCTAATTCAGTGGCGACGTAGCATGCTGCAGATTGTGTGAACCCATTGCTTTCATGTCCATCTTCCCCTACATTTATTACATGATCGAGGACTTCAAGATTACCGATGATCCGACCAAGATTTCCGTTTACGCTGGCATGGTGACTTCTGCATTTACTCTGGCCGAGTTTGCAACTGGTGTGATGTGGGGAAAGCTCAGCGACAAGATCGGACGGAAGCCTGTGCTTCTCAGCGGCCTCATTGGTACAGCCATCAGTGTTCTCATCTTCGGTTTCGCTCCTAGCTTGCCCGTTGCCCTCTTTGCCAGGGCAATGGGCGGCCTTCTCAATGGGTATGAGCTTCTCCTTCTCGCCATAGGCTTGTTACGCTCATTGCTAACTCCGCAATTAGAAACATCGGCGTATTGCAAACGACCGTGGCCGAGCTCGTGACGGTCAAGGAGCACCAGCGTATGCCTCTGCCTCTCCCCCCTCAGTGTGTCATTGACGAACTCGGGCCCATGCTAACGAGACCTTCCGATAGCTCGCGCGTATACCATTATGCCCATGGTTTGGTGCATTGGGTGAGTGCCTTCAGCCATACCATATGGAGATGCTATATCCTGACCGTTCTCTCTAGCTCCATCATTGGCCCCATGATTGGCGGCGCTCTTGCTCGACCCTGCATCAGCTATCCCGACTACTTTCCCCGCGGTTCCATCTGGGACCAGTACCCCTATCTTCTGCCCAATCTGTTCAGCGCGGTGACTGTTCTCTTTGGCGTTGTTGTGGGCATCCTCTTTCTGGAGGAGACTCATCTCGGCAAGAAGGGAGAGAAGGATCGCGGCCGTGAGATTGGTGACCGAATTTCTGCACTGTTCAATCGGGCCACATACGGCCGAGCCGATAAGCCTGAAAAGCAAAGCCTTCTCGGCGACTGCGAACAAGCTGGGTACAACACCCTTCCCGATCCTGCCGATACAGATGCGAAGAAGCTTTCCTCGCCTCAAAGTGCGTCACAGGGCAACACGGAGCCCCGAGCTGTGTCCAGCACGGAGTCTTCTGAGGCGCAACCCAATGAGCCCACTGTGATCTTCACCAAGCCGGTCTTGATGAACATCATCTCGTACGGCATCCTTGCATTGTAAGTCGATTTCCTGGTGACAGTGCTCACGGCATGCCTGCATACTGACCAGTCTCAAGCCACACCATCACCTATGACCAACTCTTCCCGGTATTCTTGAGCACCGCCCCTCCCAAGGAGCCTATTCTGGAGCTTCCTTTCAAGTTTGTCAACGGATTCGGGCTCGAGACAAAGGCCATTGGCGTCATCATCTCTATTCAGGGCTTCTATTCTTTGCTGTCTAACTATCTGATTGTGACGCCCATGACCCGCCGACTGGGACCTCTGCGCCTGTTTCGCCTCATTACATTCTCCTACTTCGCCCTCTATCTCGTCACGCCATATGTGGTACTTCTCCCAGAGAGCCTGAGGATGCCGGCCATCTACCTTTTGGTCATCTGGAAGTGTACCTTTTCGACAATGGCATATCCTAGCAACGCAATCTTGTTGGCGAACTCGGCCCCGAGCAAGCAAGTTCTCGGCACGATCAACGGCGTCGCGGCGTCCACGGCCAGCTTGTGCAGAGCCCTCGGACCTACCCTTTCCGGATTCCTCTATGCCATGGGCTTGCAGTCTGGCTATTCGGGCCTCGCTTGGTGGTTTAGCGGACTGATCACCATTGTGGGTGCCTATCTCAGCACTCAGATTACCGAAGGAACCCAGGCTCCAGTTTCGGGAGACATGATCGAGACTGACGAATCCCTCATGAACGATTACGACGACGATGAAAGCGTTTAAGGCTCCACATCGCCGACACGACACTGCACTGGCTTTCACGGCGCCAATCTTATCAGCGAAATCTCTCACTACTTTGCAGCGACACCTAGTATATTTGCACCCTTTTCTCTCTGGTTTTATTTATTTTTGTTCTATCTCTTTGCTTTTCCTACTCTGTCAGATTGGCGCAACCCGCAGCCTTGCAGCGACTTTAAGCGAGCTTTGTTGAGTCAACAAAATGGTTGACTTCCTTCGTGCACGACGTCACCCTGAGAGACGATGTTCTCTCCATTTCGTCGTTTGCTCTCCTCTTTTATTCACAGTTGTACCTGATTTCGAGTTTTGATATTTGCATGTTTGGCCTACAGAATTGGACGTTTAGAAGGATACCGGAGCTCGGGATAAACAAGGAATGGAGCACTTTCTTTTTTTCGGATCTTGTCGATATCTTGGATTTTTTATTCGGGGGGTTTTTCCCTTCCCGCCCTCTTTTGCTTTCTATTTTTTTTTTCTTCTTCTCTGCGTGGATAGCAAGGCACAACCCATGGTTCTGCAGCGTCGTGGATCGGAAGACTCGGACACAGGCCGGTGAGGAAAGGGAGAATCATGATATTGGATGGGGCTTATGGGTTATCATTGGTATACTGCACAGGGCACAACAGGGCACCGGAACTGGACAATGGGCGCTGGACACAAGGAAGCGGGATACTGGACACGGGGAACAAGACATGGATTGCAGGCTCTAGCATTTGGAATTTAGGAACTTGAAGGCTGGTTGGCCTCTTATGATTGGGTGGAGATGGCTTGGATTGGGACAAGACACGACGGGGTAGGGTAAGAAGGACTCCACGAAATGTTATTGATGAAGGATCTTTTTTATTCATTTTTTTTTCTCCCTCTCCCATGTGGCTGGTTTGGAACCTACATTATGAATACCTAGTACTGCTTCTACTTGTAGAGCATAGCTGGGTTAGGTGGCATTGGGCTTAGCCATTGAGAGGTCGGCGGATACGGAATCCTGGCGGTGGCAATATACAGGGACCTAGCTTGACTTGCTGTGTGCTCTTTGCGGTGAAGGTGAGCTTTTCGGTATCTGGTAAGCTTGGTAAGCTGGCCGCCAGTTTCATGCCAAGGTCGAGGGGGGTGCAAGGAGACGTGGGGGGAGAGGAATTCGAAGTCCAAGTCGAAGAAGCCGAAGAAGAAGATAGTACTAGCGGGGAAGCGAAACGACGAGGTGCAGGTGGCATGGCTTCATGGGTTCTGCAGTAGTTCTGAAACAGAAGAAAGAAGCCTGATCCTGGTGCCTGACTAGGAGGGAGACGCGAGATGGCGTCTACAGCAATGGCATGGGAATAGCAAGGATACGGCACACTGGAGAGAGAAGACGGGTTGGAAGAATTTCTGGGGCCAATCGGGGCTGGATGTAGTAAGCCAAAGGCAGCAGATTGGGCTGACATTTGGCTTAAACGACGACGAAGGCCGTTGGGAGGGAGGTGCATGTGGTGTGTGTAGCGTGGAGCCCGTTGGCATTTGTGTGCTCGCGCGCGCTAATGTGAGGTGTGGGATCATAGGGCATGGCACGGGCATGGCATGGGCATGGTGTGTGAATGGTATTATCCGCGGATCGATGGGCATCTCCGTGTGTGGAGGTTTGAGAGGAAGAATGCGTTAGTGTGTAGGGGCGAGGGGAGAGCGTTGAAGCTAAGGTAGGTAGGTAGTAGGCACAAGTAGGCGGTTTATGTGATGCTGCTACTAGTAGTAGTATCTCAGTATGGGTCCTGGCAGCACTGGTGTTGAAAGCAGTGCGCTGGTGGCTGTAAGCTGATTTGTTGAAGAGTCCTGTATGGAGAGATCTATTCGTCACGAGGAGTGACGTGTTAGTTTAGGTGGCCTTTGCGAATCGAGAGAGCGAGAGAGACAACCGGGACCTAGCTATCTGAAGGGTTGGAAGGGAAGGGCCTCAGCCTGGAAAGTTCTTGAACGGAAGCATTGGGCGGTGAGTCGGAAAAGAATGAGGAATAAATCGAACAAGAACGAGACAGAGACAGAGACAGCCAAACAGAGACAGGGTGGGCGGGACAGAGCCCTGGGCATACGGAGCCATGCGTGTGTGGTGTTGCCATCCTTACCCCGGATCTGCTGCGTAGCTGGTGATTGGGTGGGCTCAGGTAATGCAGATGGAGTTTGGGTAGGAAGATTTCCAAGGTAAGGTAGGATGGGGTGGTAGTATTGCATTTTTTTTTTTTTTTTTTTTTTTTTTGGCTCACATCAAGGTACTTTGAATCAGTGGGAGGAGGAGACGGCAAAGCGAAGGTACCTGTAGTTTTTTTTTTTTTTTTTTTTTTTTTGGCGGCGGTGGGGAGAAGGCGATATATGATCAGGCCGGCCCCGTGGGTGTGTGCATTGGAGCCTGCTGCGCTCGACTGCATGTAACTGGTAAGTATGTGACAGAAGATTGCGGAAATGCTCTCACTGGAGAAGAGTGGATGTTTCTGTGCAGATAGTTGGCATCTTACGGTGGTATGTCATTCGCGGACAAAACTGGGACGGGAGGCATGATGGCATCAGACATGTACAAGAAAGACTACTACGACGTAGTAGTATGAGGCAGTTGAGACGCCGTCCACTCGGCCTTTTCTGTTTGTTACAGGTAAGAAAAAGCGCTCTGCATCTCGCCAGAACAGGTGGGGAGTGGACAGCAGCATCCATAGCTCTCTGTTGACACAGTTGGGGTTCTCCTCGATACATCCAATGAACCTCAAAGTTGTTGGATACCTACCTGACTCGGAGAGCTCAGGGTGATGATACCTAGTGCTGGTAGGGTAGGGTTGGGAAGCGAATGGAAGTTGCGGAGGGTACAGCATGCGTTTGTTGTAGATGAGCCGAAGACTACCTACCTAGGTAGGCACCTGCTACCTGCAATGCATGGGTACCAAGGCAAGCCTGACTCTCCGGGTAGTACTACCTACCTACCTATGCAGAGACGACTTGTGTGGTTGCCCATCACTTGTTATACCCGATGATATAGTAGGTAGATACCTTAGCTGGGAACATGACAAGAGGTTCGACCTTTGCGCTCTTACTTCTGTAAAGAGAAGGTGGGTATATCGATAACAGCGTATTACCAATGCGGGGACCGGAGGACGAAATCAAGCGACTTTCGCTGGAGTCTTGCCTTTTTTTCTCTCGGTCAGATAGATAGATCCTCCGGTACCAACCTACTGTAGGCATTTCTTCACCTTCCGGTGCCTCGTCGACTTGGCCTCATCAACTCGCTATTACCTTATGCGGGCACATTAGCAACCCGCTGCTTGCACCAAGACAGCAAGGCGCGGGGCGCTAATCTGTGTCAAGTGTCAGTAGCACATGGGGCCGCCGCCACGAACATGGCCGCCGCGTTAGCAGGTACCAGCCACCCACGCGCCGGGCGCCGCCATTGGCAGGTACCGCTTGATCCCGGGCCCCATGGTCAGCCCCGAGCAGCGAGGTCGTGCTGCTAACGAGATAGTGATAAGGTAGTGCTGGAGACAAGAGAGCCCGAGCCTCGCTGCTCGTGGGGTTCGGGTGCAATCACATCTATCGCGGCTGCCCACCATCCAGCTGCTCTGATTTGATCCTTCCTTGTTCCCTCATTCCCAGACCCCCGCCAGCCTCGGACCTCTGAACCTCAACTCCTCCAGCTCTGCCGTCCCTACAAGCCGCAGCTTTGCCTGGGTAATAGGTAGTATATTCGACTCGAATCGACCCGACTCGACTCGACTCATACCGCATATCTATCCTGCATTGCTGCACGATTGCAGCAGCATTGCGTCCCCCTACGCCGCTCTCCATCCTCTTGCGCGGTGCTACTGCTGCATCCCTACCTTATACCTGACATCTACATCATCCTGTCGAACGACAACCTCCGCCTGGCTTCTTGCTGCCTACCTACCTACACACCAATCTTCCTTACCTTGGGTACCGCTGCTACTTGCTGCCCACTCGTTGACTTGCATTGCCGACTTTGCGTCGTCGCGCAGCTTCCGCCGAGTTGATCGCATATCAATCGCAGCCGGGGAAGCTCTCCGACCCGTCTCTCTGCGCATCGGCGCTGTGGTGCTTCTGTTCCGCACCTGTCATATCTCACGCTCAAAGCCTTCGTTTATGCGCTGCGGCCAGACTCGTCTCGTGCATGGTTGACGCCACGCTTGCGACCGCCTTCTGCTCTGTTCTCTGCCGACGGGTCGTCGTCCGTGTGCCTGGCGAGCTTCTGAGGCGTCGACGGCTTGTGCCTCTGCTTCTTGACGCCCCTCAAACAACCACCGCTGTGTCCTGGCCGATATTCGGCCTCTGTCATTCTGGACGATGGGATAGCGGAATAAGGGAAGCCGAGCATTGATTGGCCACTTGTCACGATACATACATTTCCCCACACATAATACTTATATGTGCATATACGCGAGACGAGATACCAAGGAGAACGCATCAAAAGAACGCGGACGAGGAGGAGAGCCAAGGAAGGACAAGGAAAGCATTGCCTCTAGACGGAGTCTGTGGACGGGGGCTTCCTTCACTGCGCAAAGCCACAGGAAGCAGCAGGTGAGTTGGCCGAACGGAATCGCATCGAGTCGCCGTGCTTTGCATGCATGGTGTCCCACCACTTCCCCCGCTGGCTTAACTGCGATCTGACCTTGTAGGTGGCTGTCCGATTTGTCAGTCTAGACCGAGAACCGTTCCCCTTGTCCTTGTCATCATCACCGCCCGCCTGCGTCTCTGTGGCGTGTGTGCGTGTACGTCTGCATCAGCGACGGCGAGAAGAGAGGAAGTGGTAACGAGAGTGTGTAGAAGGAGACGGAGAGAAGAGAAAGGCAAGGGATCAGAGTCGACGGGCGACCGAAAGAAAAAGACCGGAGACGACAGGGATCTGTGGATGCACGGTGTCGGTAATATCTGTATCTCTGCATGCACGCTGCCGTGGCCTTCTGTCCTTTCTCAGACGCTCCTCAGACTCTGCTCTTCTCTTCCCCCCCAGAGAGTCTAACGCAGACACCCCTCCCGACCCCCGACCTCGCAAAGCTCGCTCGCTGGGCGAAACTGGCCAGCCTAACACAAGAAATCCCAGCGTTGCCTTAATTCTCCTAAAACCATGCCCACGCATGGCCCGCCATCCCCGATCCTCCAGAAAAGCGTCAAGCGTCAGCGGCAGGACTCGTACGACGGCACGTCATCGCGCAACGACTTCTCAAGCCCTGAGCGGCAGGCTGGCGATGCGAAGCCCGGAGGAGGGGTCATCGCAGGCAACGGCATCAGCAGCGCCCGCGCTGCGGCCGCTGCCTCGGCTGCCTACCCTGGCATCCCTGTCGCTTCTGGCACTGGCACCGGTCCTGACAATGGCACCGGTCCTGGTCTTGGTTCCCGTCTCAGTGCCAGTGCCATCGACGTTGCGAATGCAGGTGCTGCCGCAGACACCACCAACACCGCCAGCACTGCCGACTCCGAGGTAGCTGCGTCGGCTGGCAAGCCTGGGCAGAGCAGCAACTTTCGCAATGTCAGCGCGTGCAACCGCTGCCGTCTGCGTAAGAACCGCTGCGATCAGAAGCTCCCCAGCTGCGCGAGCTGCAACAAGGTCGGCGTTTCTTGCGTCGGCTATGACCCCATAACGAAGAAGGAGATTCCTAGAAGGTGAGCCAATGCGGTTGCCCAAGAGGAATAGAATAAACCGAGACCATCCGCTTGTTCTTATTCTGAAAGCACATCTAGCCATCTTTATCTTACTCTTTGCTGCCCCCCTATCGAAGTTGTGGCGTCGCTAACCTCTGGCTCCTACCTAGTTATGTCTTCTATCTTGAAACTCGTGTGGAGGTGCTGGAGAAGCTCCTTGCATCCAACAACATAACCTTTCCACCAGCTGAAGATCTGGATGTATGCTCCCGTCCTGGTTCCGAGGGCAGCTTTCCAGCCGTACGCGAAAGGGGTTACTCAGGACAATCCGACGTTGCGGGCTCTCGCATATCGCGACCTCACAGCCATCGTAGTCAGGCGCTGGACAATGCGCTGTTGCCGGAAAAGAAGCAGGGCAACCAGAGCCCGGCCATGCTCAACATTGTCAGCCCGACCAAGCCGCGATCCCTCGCGTCTGCATCCGGAGTTTCCTTTGCTCGTGTTGTGTTCGCCGCAGTGCAGTATTCGGTATCAGACCAAAACAGCGGGCCGGACAAAACCGCGACCTCCAAGACGTCAATGCGCGACTCCTTCTTCGGCTTGCATACACGACCAACTATCCAGCCGGCCACATTCCCCAGCAGAGATGTGGCCATGCGCTTGGTCACGCTGTACTTTGAGCATGCAAATCCACAAATCCCCATCCTGCACCGCGGCGAGTTCATGCGCATGTTTGAGAAAGCGTATGCTAACGAGGGCCGGGGCCTCAGTGCGAGAGAGTTATATATGCTGAACATGGTCTTTGCAATTGGCTGCGGCGTCATCGTGGGCGAGCCAGTCAAGGCGGAAGCTTCTGGAGGCTCAAGGTTATCGTTCCAACAGAGCCGAGGTCAGTGCCAGCCCGAAGAATATCACGCAAGTGCAATCGTCCATCTCGAGGAATGCCTCAGCAGCAGCGGTGGTGGGCTCGAGGTACTACAGGCCGTGCTTCTGCTTGCCAACTTTGCGCTCCTGCGGCCTGTTCCGCCGGGCCTTTGGTATATCACCGGCGTGGCGGTGCGTCTTGCTGTTGACCTTGGTCTCCATCACGAGGATACAGCTGACATAGATGATGCTGGACCGCAACACTCAAATGGCGATGGCGCAGACCGAGGGAGGCGCCTCTGGATCCGAGACATGAGGCGTAGGCTGTGGTGGTGCACCTATTCCTTTGACAGGCTGGTGAGCACTTGTGTTGGTCGGCCTTTTGGCATTAGCGACCAAGTCATCACGACCGAATTCCCCTCGCTACTGGACGATGCCTACATCACCCCCAATGGCTTCATAGAACCGCCTGCCGGTCAGGATCAGCCGAGCTACAAGCGTGTTGCCCATCACTACTTCAAGCTACGCATGCTGCAGTCTGAGATACTCCAGGTCCTGCAATATAACCAAGCACAAGTCGCCAGGACCACAGGGGCTCAGGCTCGATCGTTTGTTCCGGAATGGTCTAGACAGCTGCCATCACCTTATCTTGTTCATTTTGACTCGTACAGGTCATGGCGGATAGATATCGACCGGAGACTTCGTGAATGGAAGGACAGTGCGCCTTCAAAGCAGGAGACTGGTGTGGCTTTTTCGACCGAGTTCCTCGACCTCAACTACTGGCAGGCCATCGTTCTGCTGTATAAACAGAGCCTGAGCATCCCTGCAATGTTTGAGGGAGAGTACAATCCCTCCAATGAGGTCAACAGTCCCACAGCCTTCACTGCTGAGCTGCGCGAAGACGAGGAACGCATATATCTCAAAGTCGCCGAAGCGGGACAGAAGATTCTCCGCATATATAGACAGCTACACCTGAGCAGCCTCGTAAGCTATACTTATTTGTCCACTCACCATCTGTTCATGGCCGGCATCTCGTATCTTTACGCCATCTGGCACTCACCTACTGTGAGAAGCCGCCTAGTAAGTGAATTCCTGCGAGGCCACTATGAGAACACGTGTCGCTAATGAGTCGACGTGCAACAGACAATGGACGAAGTCGACTTTACAGTACTGGCAGCAAAGTCAGTATTTACTGACATGATTGACAAGTGCCCGCCGGCAGAGACCTGCCGCGACGCTTTTGATCGAACAGCCAAGGCCACCATACAGATGGCCACATCAAAAGGAGGCTTCGGCTTGCCTGTACAGCAAACTCGCCAACCTCTGACCAGAAGGGAAACGACCAACTGGGCCCCTACTCCCGTGGACATGGCCCCTAAGAAGCCAGGACCTCGACATGCTCAACACCACCATCACCACCACCCATCTGAACAGCAGCAGCAGTTTCAGTTTGACTTGGCAATGGGCGATAGCCTGTCGTCGCCCAGCCTATCGACAGCAGGAGATAGAGCCACTCCGCCAGTTACGATGGCGCATTCTCACCCTCACAGCCACGGACAGCCAAGCCCCATGCGGCGGACAGGTAGCTATGACGACGGTCACTCTGCTGTGGACCAGTCAATGATTGCATCTCCCTCTCTCCCACGAAGCCAGACCACGCCTGGCAGTGCCAGCGGCGGAAACCCTTTTTTGGGCCAGAGGAACCAGCAGTTTGGCATCCAGGGGCACATGGAGTATCCGGATGCGCAGACGATGGAGCTCCTGCAGACGTTTGGGACCGGATCCCACAGTGGCTTCGGAGCCATGGATCAAAATCATATGGACTTTGGCCTTGGCATGAACTGGGAGGGCATGCATAATGATTATGCGGAAGCGCAGCCTATAAACCCCTTTGATACGTTTTTCTTTGGCGGGCCTCAGGGAGGGAATTCCGGATTTGGTGCGTCTCATGACGCGGGCGGCCACTCGGAAGACAATGACATATGATGATGATGCGCGAAATCAGACGACGATGACCATGGCCGGGAAGACGACGAATGATTCTTGGATGGGATACGTTATGGGAGGCTTGCATGAATGCCTGAAAGCCGTTCTTGCTCTTTTCTTCTTCTTTTACACATTGCATACATACCCATTTCTTCTTGTTTACTCTCCTGGATTGACTCGTTCCTTGCACTGTCATGTCTCGCCTTTGTCGTTTCTTGCATACATGGAGGCTCTTTGGCTTTGCTGATACAACAGGGGTTTGACTGAAGTACATGATCGGCGGACAGAGGCAGCTACATTTGGAAACGGAATTTCACCCTCCGGAACGAGATAATGCCTACCTTACCCAGATGGAGGGCATGCAGTGTTTAGAACGGCTATATATAGGTATATGTACTCTTACAGACGCCTGTTAGATATAACAGTCTTCATGTCTGTGTGCGTGCTCTGGAGTGTGCGAGCATGCCGTATATCGACCAATAAATCGGAGGAAAACAAAAACATGACGTTGCGCTATTCATTATTGTTCATTCTTCGTCGTCAGTGCGCCAACGGTATTAAACATGAGGAGTCTAGAAAGGTCAAGTCAAAATGAGATTCCAGCAAAGATGAAAACGCCTGAAATGACAACATTATACATTGCTCGTTCCCGCCCATTTGCTTCTTTCTTTCCATGCTGCAGTGAGCGGATACCTTGTCCAGACTCTTGTTCCTCGTCGCATAAGTCAACATACGCCCGGGCAACGAACGTGGTGTCTTGCAAGTGAAACCAGTGGCAGAAGCAAGGATCGGCGGCGCAGACAGTAGAAGTCGGGAATTGTGAGGACGGTAAGGGGGCTTGTGGAGGGGAAGCAAGAAGAGGTAAGAGACCAATCGGCTGCTTGATTCCTAGCATTAAGCTTAGCGACGGTATCTCCTGTCGTCATACTCGCTGTAACTGGATCGCCGGCTGCTCGATCTCCTTCCCCGGCCCTCTCCGCCCCTTGACGGACCGGCTCTCCGGCTGTGCCGCCTTGAAGACGGCGTGGTTTCTTCAATGACAACCACCTCGTTCTCCTCGTCGTAGTCCGAGGGCAGGGGATCCTCCCTAGGCGCCGGACCGCGCCCTCCCGAAGACGAGGAAATTGTCGTCAGCGGCGACCGCTCTCTCGTCTTCCGCATGGGCTCAACCACGACTGGAGACTTGCCCCTCCTTTCACTCCTGTGCTTGGACGTCCTCGTAGTGCGTTCACGGCGCATCGAGAGCACCCTAGCGCCGCGTGTCGAAGGGACCTTCTTCTTCGGCTTCTCGCTTTTGCGGAGCGAGCTTAGCATGCTGCGCGAGACGTATGACTTGGACTCGGTCACATCTGACGTGCGGACGAGCGAGGAAACAGGACCGAAGCCCAAAATTGTGTAGATGACGAGCAGCAGCAAGATGAAGCCGATGACCGAGGCAATGACGATGCCGACTATGGCGCCCGGCTGGAGGGAATCGTGGAGGTCGCCGTACGTCTCAGGGATGACAACGAAGGTGGTAGTCGCGGAGTCGCGCTGTCGAACCACGAGAGAAGCAGCATCGCCATGTATCGTTTTTGTCGAGACCAGGGGGGCTTTGGCGAGCCCGTCTATTAGCTGCCGCGGAAGAGGCGGTAGAACCGGCATTCTGGTGGCTTGTTCTGTGTGTGAGTGTGTCTGTTTTCCTCTGTTTCCCCTGGATGGAGACGTCGATGCGTGAATGGCAGCTGATTGGACGAGATATGAACCGCTCTCCGGTTGGTCGCGAGGAGTAGAGCAGCAGAGGGAAGAGGAAAGGAAGAAGAACCCGGGAGAAAGCAGCAGAGGAGACAAAAAGGTGGCTCCGCTTTCTTTTGCTGTTCGACGGAAGGACTCTTGGAAGCTGAAAGACGAGCACCAGAGCCAAATCGGATACGGTGTAGAAGCCGGAGATGGGACAGACAAATAGCCAGCGAGGACGACAGAAGGCAATGCAATGCACGAGGGCCCTCAGTAGGATGACAACGGCGTGGGCATCCAATGCATCGTGTCGCGTCCAGGGGTTGCCCAAATGATTTTTCTCTTTTTGTCTGGTTGCCTCGAGAGACTGCCTCTGGTTGGAATGGACGTGGGAGAGGATGTGAGATCACAAAGTAAGAGAGAAAAAAGGGGAGACAGTTGTGCTACCTGCCTCTACCTCTTGTCGTCTTTCTTTTCTCAGCTGTGCTGTGGTGATTTGTCCGGTTTGTTGGTTCGTAATGAGAATTGGCCGGGCATATGTGATAAGCCAAACATTGGCCCAGGTTCAGGCACAATGTGGGCTGGATGGGCGGCAACGAACCGAGCCTAGGAGAAAAAAAAAATAGATCATTTGGTGAGAGCGCAGAGGAGAGGGGGAAATGGTCCCCAGCCACCGGCCATGTTCGTTCCTTATGGCGTTCCCAGCCACATCATTTCCAGTGGAACCTGGAATACGGAGCTGCGAATGGAGACAAACAGGTTGGTTGCTTTGGATTGGACTTGTGCTTTGGAGACATAAGGAGGAAGGTCAAGAGCAAAGCGGTCAATGAATGAAGCAATGACAACAGAAAAAGAAAAATATTATCTTGGGTAAGGCAGAGAGACTTTTTTGGAGTTGATGACAAAAGGAAGGGTTGAGAAGCTGCTCCTTCCCTTGGTCAAAGTGGATGACGAGTGTGACGAACCTGGGAAGTTGCATTTGTGTGTGTGTGTGTGTTGGTACGGATCGCACTTGACGATTCCATGTCACCCCGCCCCGCACTGGAAGAGCATCGTTCCTCGTCGTTCCTCGTTGTCTTATTATAATCGATAGCGAATGAATGACTAAGGGAACGAGGGAAGATGGTGCCGAACGTCAAGCGAGGAGCTTCCATAAATAAAGGCGCCATGCAGTATTCTTGACGAAAGCTCACAGCAGCATCACACATTCATTGAGTCATCGAACCCTCTAGGTATGTGTAGTATTGTAATGCAGCTTTTATCTCGGGCTCCAAAAGTTTGGCTCGATCTGCCCTCAGTCAATACTCAGAGAGAACTAGTACCCCGATAACTTTTGTTTTCTATCATGCTTTAGCCAACCCCCAGGATTCAGCCTCATCGGAGCGCTTTTTTCGTCATCAACAATGGATATATGCAGTTTCATTATGCATCAAACAAGCCAGGCGTGACCATGCCCATTTCCTTCCGCACCAGCGCCCAACTCAAAGAAAAGAAACCCCCCAAGAAGAAGAACAAAAGAAAAAGAAACAAATAAACTCAAGATGAGGCCCAGAATCGACTCACGGAACATGAAAGATGTCCGTAAGTCTTGACCGGCCTATGTGACTCGCAATGCAACGCCCATCGCAGATGTACATGACCACGACCAAGCGTTGCAGCAGATCACTCTGCTCGAACGTACCCAGCGAAGATGGCCAAGAGAAAAGATGCAGAAAGAAAAGGCAATCATCAAGGCCGGCTGGCACAACTTTCCCCCTTCATACCCGAGCAGTTGGCTTCTGTGGGATGGGTGGCAGGGCACATGTAGGTGGGGGTGCTGGAGGAGGCATTGCCATCATTGGGATGCTCTTCTTGCGGCCCATGGTACGGCCATAGTTACTGGAAGAAGACGACGGCCGGGTAGGGGTAGGCGGCAGCGGCCCAGTTGGCGGCGGCGAAAGCTGGGGAAGTGTCTCAGCAATGGTATCGATTGGCCTCAGATCTCCTATCGTCGACCATTCAGAGTAGGCGGACGCGATGCTGGCTCGTTTGGGCTTGCTACTCCAAGAGAAGCCCAAGGAAAAGCTTCGCATGGTTTCGCCGTCAATCTCTCTCGAGTTTCGATGCCTCTTGATCTTGTCTGCCCAGGAAGCTGCGAGAGGGGCGGGCATAGTTGCATACGACCGCTCAGACGTTGGTGACGCCAGAGGGCTATCGTCTTCAAACACCGACTGACCCGTCACGTCTTGATGCCTCTCCGGTGTGCTATCAGTTTGAAGCTTAGGAAGAGCCCCAGGGCCTGGGCTAGCAACTCGAGCCTCTCGCTTAGGCAGCAGACTAAGACGCCGTGCGCCCGTTGGTAGCTTCCCAAACATCTGAGGCACATTTGACACAGATATGAGGCGCCCACGAGAGAGCTTGGGCACGTCGGGGACGTGTGTGGGCAATGCTTGCGATCGAAGCTCGCCATTATGGCTCGTCACTGGCCGTTCCGGCATGGTGTTTTCCTTCGGAGAGGGCTGGTCTTCCACTGTGGACAGGGGCCTGCCTGTGCGAATATTGGCAAGCCTGCGCAGCGAGCTGCGAGGAGCTACAGTGACTGGCGACCGAGGAGGCCCCCCCGATTCTTGGGCAGAGGCAGCCTTGCCGTAAAGGAACCGATGCCCAGTCTGTTGCAGCGGGGGGAGGATAAAGCGGCGCGTGCCACGGGGCTCAGAAGGAGACGGCGTCGCAGTGTTGACCCAGAGCTGGGAGGCTATGTGGCTCGGTTCCGCCGCGCCGTCACCGACCTCTTCGACGAACGGCCCCATGGTCTGCGCAGAAACACGGCGACTCATGATGACGCCGGCGTTGGGTCTGGGTTGGGCGGTCTCCGGGATGGTAGTAATCTCCAGCGGCAGAGGGAATCTGTCGCGTATTGGGGAGTCGGCGGGCGAAGATGTGGTCGACGTGAGCATTGTTCGCTGGCCAGAGGACAAGAGCGACAGCCTATGGGCGCTGTCGCGGAGGTTGTCCAGCTGACGACCGTCGTGAGAGGCGACGCTGTTTGTTGTCGACTTGTCGTCGCTGGTCAAGTCTTGGCCTATGGAGTCAAAGTCGATGACCGGTATGGAATAATCACAAGCTCTCCGTCCGTAGTCTTGCTGGAGCATGGGCGGCGGGCTTGCAGGAGTGCCCCGTGGCGATCGCATGGCGTCTCTGTCAATAAGCGACCCCTGGCTCTTCCTTTCGCGAAGATAGAGGGCAGCAATATCCTCCTTGGATTCGGACTCCTTGACCTCGAAATCCTTGACCTCCACCTCTTGAGGCAGCCCAACCTCGGAGAGTTTCCTTCTGCCGCCGAGCTGCTCAATCATGGCTCGTAGACTGGTCATCCAGTCGTCCATATCCTCAGCGCTGTCAAAGACCATGACCATATGTTGCGTGTAGCGCTTCTCGGAGGATCGAAAGGACAGCTTCGACAGGAGCGATCGAGAGTCGGTTGTAGACGCCCCGTCGTCCTCTGTGCTGGCAGAAACTTGCAGTACCCAATGGCGACCAGGGATCATGTCGGTTGCAAAGGCGGCTGACGACTTGCCCAGCCGCAGCACCTTTTCGGGCATCCGATCAATGACCCCATCACCGCTGTATTGAAGCAGATAGCCAGCGGTCACAAGAATGTAGATCTTGGTCGTCCACGGGAGGTTGGTGGTCGACAGAGAATCTCCGCGGTTTCTTCTCCTGAACAGGTCTCCAGAACTAGTGCCAGCGCCACCAACGCCGCCGCTGACATTGGCTTCCGTCTGTGAAAGAGGTGCTATCATCTCGGCAACGCTAGTCTTCTCGCTCAGCTTCATAAGAGCTTCCGTGGGCAGGGCAACGGCAGCAAGTGTCTGCTGCTTAAGTGCCTGTTGGTAGGCTCGAAACAGAGACGGCAATGACCAGGTGGCAAGAGTCGGACGAGGTTGCTTCGCGATGGACATGCCCGGCGTGCGCTTCCCTGAGGAAGCAGCAACACCGGCGCCGGCGACATTGGCAGGACTGCGAGATCGTGCATCTTGGCCGTCTTCTGGCTTCTCGATGGGTGAGTCCCACGGGTAGTCCGTCGTGGGGAGGGCGAGCTCAGACTTGACTTGCTGCTGCCCGTAAGGCCAGTAGTTCATGTCTGCAAGAGACGCTCGAAAGCCACCAGATCGAGGAGAGGCCTTGGGCGAGGTTGAGTTGAGGGAGCTGAATGAACTGGGAGAGCGCAGGGTTTCTTCAACCTTCTGCCCTTTGTTGGATCGTGTGAAGATGGTTCGAAGGCCAAGCCTGGATTCCCGACGCCCTAACTTGGAACCTTTTGATGAAGTTGGTCTCCCACTTTCAGCTGAGGGGTCGACTATCGGTACGTGATTCCGTCGGGGAAAGGAATTGCTGCCTTCGAGGACATCATGCCTGCCGATGGAGGCCATGCCGGAGCCGAGTCGGGCGTTGGAGAGGCCTGGACACGATCGACAGGGGGGCTGCACGAGGCGAGGGACGATAAGCCGAGAACGTGGTGGTTTGCGTCTGCGTGTAAGTGAGGGGGATGCTGATCCTCGGGGTCAATGCTTGGATAACCCATAAAACTTGGGCAAGAGAAGCGGCTTGCTGTGGATGAGTGACTGTGTCCAAGAGATCGACACAAGCTCGGGGGTGTAAATGAGTGTATGGGTATACGAAGGCGTATGATGCTGGAACTCCCGCCGATGCTGTGCACAGACGGGCAGGCAGAGCGCAGACGATGGGTGGATTGTAGTTCTCTTCGGCCACAGATCTTGAGAGGCTCGTGTAACAAGAGGCGAAGGCGATATGACGAAAGAATCAGATGAAATCGATATGGACTGCAGAGCAAGGCTTGTAAAAGGACCCGTGGAAGCAATGGCAGCAGACGATGCGGAGGGAATGTGGTGCTACTGCGAAAGAGGCAGAGAGAACAGACAAACGGCACAGGGCACTGAGCAAAGGGCACAAGAAAGGATTGAGTGGTTTGGCCTCCCTCAAGACGGCATTGTGACGAGGAAGAAGTTCCAAGGGAGCAACGGCTCCAGTCATGAGAGGTGGGACAGTGGGCTACTCATATGCACCTCATGGTTCGAGTTTGCACCTGGGCTGCCATCGCCGGTGCAAGTACGGCGGCGGTACATGACTGGCAGGTACTCCGAGGCTTAGCTCGGCTCTCGAGGCCGAATCACAGCCCGCGAGCAAACGATAAAAGGAAAAGAGAGAACAAGTCGCGGTTCCTGTGGCCCTTGGGCCGGATGTCAAGGCAAGGTATCCACCGGCCGGTGCAGCGGTCGTCAAAAAAGCTTTCACAAGCGTTGCCAGGGGTCAGGGGTCTTGGGCTGGAGGCATTATTGCAAGGTCGAGGTCGAACTGGACCTGAGTTGAAGGGGTGTGGGCCGGACAGGGCACTGGGACAGTGCGGTGACAGGCGGGGGGCCACTGGCAGCTAGCGGGTGCCCTGTAGCGGCTCAGCGGGCAGAGAGAGAGAGAGAGAGAGAGAGATTCAGCAGATGGATTGACGCTGGACGCGACGGAAGGGAGCTGGAGACGCCTGAATCTTGGACGGGAGTCTAGGGCTGTGAAGGTAGGTAGGTAGGTACCGGTACGGGCATGGCCAGGGTTCAGACCCAGGTGGCCCAGGACCACAAGAGTCCACTATGAGGCACCTCACACACACACTACAGCTGCTCCAGGCCCTGCTGCGGAGGGCGATTCCGTCAAACTCGTGGCAGCTCTGGCAGCCAGGCATCTGCTCCTGACCGGAGCATGACGGCATTGTCCCATGGTGCCGGCGCATCGCCCATGTACCAGTACATACAGGATGGAAACCTGCCTGGGCTGGACTCGCTTTGTTTAATTTGTTTACGTCGAGGTTCGACTTGGACGCTCGGCTTGGCAGGAAATACCAAGGCATCATCTGGGTTTGAACCTGGAGGTATTACCCGATCCAGATTGTCAGACGGAGTATTTCGTCCTGTACCTGTAAGGCAGAATCTTACTTTGTGATGTGTAGTAATCCCTTGATCCGTGGCAGCTGAGATCACTGAGGTAAGGTACTAGTATCTTAGTACCTAGTAGATGTAACCTGATAGGCAGGTCAAGTACCTTACCTAGGTAGGTACTCAGGAAAAAGAAAATGGAATAAGAAAAAAAAAAAAAAGAAAAAAAAAGCAAAGGGAAAGAAAGCTCGAGTGCGGCTCGCATGTGCTTGCCCACGACGGACCCCTCGCAACTTCCGACTTACAGAGTCTGCACTTGCAGATTGGAAATCTCGCCAAACTCTCAGCACACACACTGCGCAAAAAGAAAGTGCGGGGGGTCCCGTCCTTCCCAGCCCCAAGTCCAACCACGTGTGAGACAAAGAAAATTGGTCATGTTATTGATCACATTCTCTGGACGCTCTTTTTGCCTCTTGCTTCTTATTTGACTTTTGATTAGCTGGAAACTTGTCCCTCACCTTTGCTTCTTTTGTTCAGGCTTCGAGCAAGAGCGGGCAAAGCCATGGGCAGATACGACACCAACATTGACCAAGATCGCGCGCAGCGCGGCTCGACTTACGACAGAGACAGTCTTGATGGTTGCGCCCTGATATCGAGCTCGCAAATTCAAAGTTGCGCCAACATGACGTTCTCGCATGACTTTCACTCGGGGGTCCTTTGACGAGCAGCAAATCACGGCCCAGGAACACGCAGATGCGCCTCACGTGAAGCAACAGATTTCCTCTCCCCGCCACGGGAAAAAAGGAAAGCATGTCTCAAACTAGGTCCGCAAAGCGCCCAAAAGCCGTTACGGCTGAGGCACTATCACCGACCACCTTGCCTGGAGACGAGGGAGCCAAAGGTCCTGATGAGACCCGGATATGACCTGGCCCCTACCAAACTTCAAGCCTTTCAAGCCGATATCACAGATCAGGATGGGCCATCGTCAATTTCAGTGCCGGCAGCGCCAGCTCCCAGTCCCTTGGGTCCCCCTTTGATCGCCGTTGCTATAATTACATCCTGCCAGTAGGAAGCACCAGAGATGAGCGAGGATACGAGAGCCGGCAAGTTGTCCTGTACATACATACAGTACGAAGTTTTGCAGGGCTTCTCATCGGGCTCCGGTGCTTTGGGATGGCCCTGCTAGTGCATCACTTTTGACTAGGATCATGATCTAATAGCTTTGCTGACCCACGAGCTACCAGTAGGTCGACGGCGATCCGCGAGACACGCAGGACAAATAACCAGCTTTTGCTGTGGTCCGAGCCCTCGTCCCTCTTCCAAATTGGCGCGGACCTTGAGGCAGGTGGGCAAAGAGATAACAAGAAAGGGTGTGAGCGTGTGGGATAGTAGTGTGGAAAAGTGGAAGAGATCGTGGTAGGGCCGAGGCCTCACAACACCTGAGTGGATGAAAAGTAAAAAAAAAGGACGAGCCCTGCCGGGGGGGAAAGGCTCGTTCCCGATTCGACGATTTGTGAGTTCGTCACCTGCGAGCGCCCAAAAATATGCTGCAAGACCAACAATAGTGCGAACCTTTTCCCTGCCGCTCCGAGGGCATGAGCACGCGTTGCCTCGCATATTACTTTGCAGGCAACCATCTCTTGAAGCTGTTCGCTTGCTTGCTTGAGATCAGAAGCACCAGCAGACAAAGTTTTCCCTCCTCTTCCCCCCTTCCGTCGGACCGTCCACGATCGGGAAAAGGTTTCTTCTTTGCCCCAAAGGTGGGTAATGAAACGGCAATCGTGGAGCTCCAGATCCATGGCTCCAGCGATGGCTCGGCTTCTTCAGGTTCTTCATACGCAACGATCCCATCGTCCAATTGCAAGGCTCAGATTGAAAAGACTCCGCGCTGCCAGGCCCGAATTACCAGTTGGTTTTTCAACTGCTGCCTGTCTAACGAAGTGAGACCGCCGTCCGACAACCTACACGCTGTCTGCACAGCTCGTCACAGTGCAGATACGAACGAGCCTCTGGCAAGCTGTTGGCCTAGTGCTGCTCCCTGCAGTTATGCAGGGTTGAACAGCGTAAATGACGCGGGAGATGAAAACTGTTCACAGCTTCGGCCGCGGGCTGTGTTGGTACGAGAATGTAGCAAGCTACAATTGTGCCACAAGTACTACGAATTACACACGAGATGCTTCTGACGCCAACCTGCCGGACCCAACGGGCTAACTCGTATGCGCGCTGCAGATCAACGGCCGCTTCGTGATGCACGTCGTCTCACGCAAGGTCTGCCATCCAACTTTCCTGCTCTTACTATGTATTACACAGACTAATACGAGATGCTGCAAGGGGGCGATCGATGCGCTAAAGGCAAAGCGTCATGACCGCGATGTTCGACGACGCGCAACATGGTTCCCACCAGTAACTGACGCGGTTTGTTGTCTCCAGAGACAGACAGAAGAATCCACCGACAGACCCTCTGATGTTGCTGGTGACTCACAGCTGAGTAGCAATGACTGCGTCGTACGAACCGCTTCAGCGTGGGCGGTCAACGTTCCTGCAGTAGCGCGTGATACGATGCCTTCTCAATGTGCTTGCAGCTTGCAGCTTGCATATGTAGGATGCAACAGTTTTTTGCGCTTTTGTTGGGGCTGAGCCCAGCATCTCGGCAGCTCCAACGATATGCTGCGAAGGGCGGAGAAGGATCTGGTAAGCAAGTGGCAAGCAGCCAGGCTTTCAGCCCCCTTGCTGCCCAAGCCGCAGAGAACGAGTACCCGGAGCAAGCGACGTAAGGTATCGCAGCAAGATGCTATTGGTTATTATCTCGAGCGGAACGATGAACAGGTCTCGACAGACTCAAGGATCTACTTGTACGACATGCAGATGCGACGACCTGTCATGTGGCCATGAAGTGGAGCCTGGAAGGGAGACCAGGCGACAGGGAGGGCAGTCAGATCGAGTCCTTGACGTTTGTCTACTCAGACCCCCTACCACTGGTTAGAGACGGTGAATGCTCGATTCACTAACGCAAAATTTCAGGTTGAAACTCGAACTCCAGGGTTAGTATGATGCTGCATGGCTTGGAACACACGAACCCTGTCCACCGCTTAACGCTATGGCCGCCATTGATGAGACGAGAGGCTGCTCAGCGGCAGCATAGGCAGAGTGCCTTGTTGCCACGATGAAACATCAATGATGGCTTCATGTGAATCGACCTTGCTTTGTACATACGGCGGACGGGGCGCGGCACGGCCCCCAGTGTCGTCCAGTCGCCAACCTGACCTCCTTCTTCTCCTTCTTCCCAATCGCGGACTCTCCCGGCAGCAGTATGTCTTAGCCACCAACCCACGGGCCGCACTTGGCAGCCGCTCAGCCGCTCAGCCGCTGTCCGGGCCTCTCAGAGCTGGCTGCCTGCTGCTTCATCAGCTAAATGCGGCCATGAGCGCGGCCACGCTCGAGTGCCACACAGCATACGGAGTGCTTCATCTCATCTGGGGTCGGGAGGCCTGCCTGCACGGGCCGCAGAAGAAACAGGGCTCCGAGATATGAAACAAGATATCCGGAAAGACAAAAGTGCTGTGACTTTCCATGTTGTTGAAAGCCCCGGCAGCACGGTGTATCACTCTTCAATCCCCTCTTGAGTCTTGAGTGGATAAGGTGCCATTACCATGATATATGCCGAGTCTTTGGAAGTGGGAATTACAAAGGCATCTCACGAGCGACGTGCTCTGGCTGGCCACCCGTGGCGATGAATTGTACTCGTAAGCTCTTTTTGTTGTTTGCTTTTTATCTCCTTCACCAATAGTATTCACCCGATGCGTGTATACATACAGTTGGTTCCGGAGCTAGTATTTCAGCTGAAGCGGATCTGGGGAGGCAATCTCGGGAAGCTGAGTAGCTTAGTATGTTGTGCCTCTGCAGGCCGAGGCAAGAAGAGTGGCGTTTCAGAAGAGTGGCGTTTCAGAACAGTGACATTCGATGCCCGGTACCATTGATGCTATTATTAGGTATGCATACAGGCAGATCGGTTGCCTCTGTCCTTGTGAAAGCGATGTTGTTGATTGCTTCGAAGTCTAGACTCGGTAGTACATGTCATCGCGTCTTCTCTGTGTTGGCACGCATCACCCATATCTGGTCATTGTCACTCAACAGATACAGTTCAATATTCACATCTGTTGTATTATCGACTATGACTTTGTTTGATTCACGACTCTCTAAGCCCAACAGCACAATTCCGTCTGGGTCCCTGGAATTGTTGGGCTAATGGGTGGGTGGCGGCTGGGAGCACATAGCCGGATAGCCTACCTGACATGCCCCAAATGCGGCATTCAAGGCATTGGCCACGGCCTGACAGCGTCCCAAGGTTCCGAGAGCCGGACGCCAATAATCCAGCTCGAAGCAAAGCAATGAACATGACAGCCTGGATCAGTCCGTCATGAGGCTTGCGGAGATGCAAAATCTTCCCCCCACCTCGACTTTGGGGGGGGGGAATTGAAGTGTCGACAGCGGATATCCGGTTTACGTATATTGGACTGCCGAAGAGAATGTCTAGCAAACTCAGTGCCTTGCTGCGCCTTTCAAGCCCGGGCATTGAGTTTCGTTGAGTCTGATGAGATTTGATGACTTCCGAAACGGTAAGGCAAGATATGATATATATAGCACCAATCTGACGAAGTGGCAGCTTCAGCCGCTCGAATACTTGGCATCCAAGGCTACCTCGCTCTTTATCAAGAAACGACCCTCATCTGAATAATGGCAACCATATATCAGCCCCAGGAATACCAGGCCGTTGACGACGTGCCTTATCAGCGCGGGTAAGGCCCCTTTCCAATGCCCAAGAGCATCTGCAGTACAGATACTCTTCGAGCAAGATTCCAGCGGACTAACAACAAAGCGCCATGCAAATCGAATCACAGCCGTCCCCTCCCAACCGTCACGCCCGTCTTCCAAAACAAGCTGCCCAACTCGCCCGGCAAGACGGCCGTCGGCCTGCTCGTCGACTTCCCACCCAACGCCTCGACGCCCCCTCACACGCACGGCGGCGCCGCCATCTCGGCCTTCGTCATCAAGGGCACCGTGCTCAACAAGATGAACGACGGTCCGACGCGCGTGATCCCCGCGGGCGGCTCCTGGTTCGAGGCCCCCGGCTGCCATCACCGGACCAGCGACAACTACAGCACCACCGAGCCCGCGCAGATCCTGGCGACCATGGTGGTGGACACGAAGGTGGTTGAGGAGGGCGGCATGGCTGCTCTCGTTGTGTTAGATCCTGAGTATGCGGATATCAGACTTGGTTGAGCTGGACCATGTGACCACGAAAGGGGAAGAATTGGAATAGAGGAACAACTGGGAGATTCCCAGTATCGCTAATTAGGAAACCTTTCCTGGCAACTGCTCCATAATATATTCTTCCCTTTGATATCTGAGATATCTCGATCGAAAAGATAACCTGGCTTTATGATATAAGCTTGTGATATAACAGTTTCCAAACAAACATCTAGCGAGTGACTGGATTCACGTATCAGATTCCAGAAGTGAAAAGGTCCATTTGAAAATGTCGAGAAAGGCCGTAGAATCGTCGGCAATAGGCTAAAGCACAAGATTAATGGCGTTGAAGGCAATATAAAAAGGCGGTGCTGCCAGCATAATAATCTATGACTAGTATCCAAATAGTCGAGCACAGGTTTGCTCTGGGAGAAGTGTATAGAACATGTTGAATATGGCAAGAAACTGAATGTTGATGATGAGCTCTGTCGAATGGCCCCCTGTCGCTCTAACAAGGGTAGTTGTGATGAAAGAATATGCCAGGCCTTGTCAAGCCTTCTATGAGCTGGTCGCTTGGCCATATAACAGCCGTTGCACCATTTCGGCAATGGCAAGACTGCTTGTCAACCCAGGGCTCTCAATACCCAGGAGATTGACCCATCCTTCGTATCCGTCCTCCTTCTTGATGTAAAAGTCCTGAAAGCTCTTGTCCGTTGCCGACGCCGCTCCCTTGGGGGCAAGCTTAGGCCGCATGCCAGCGTAATCCGGCACCAGGGCTTCAGGATCGACAGTCGGGAGGTACTTTTGAATCTCGGCAACAGCCTCCGGAAGCCGCGAGGCATTCACAGTGAGGTCGTTCGGATCGTCCACCCACTCGACGTCCGGACCGAAGCGGATCCGTCCGGCCAGGTCAAGCGTCAGGTGAGTCCCGAGACCACTGGCGCCGGGCTCAGGAGCCGGGTATATCAGCCGGGAGATCTTGGGGCGAGAGGCCGCGTAGGTGAAGTAGTTGCCCTTTGCGTAGTAGAGCCGTCTGTGCCGCGGAGGGGGCACAATCATGTTGTGGACGGCTACGGCGCCGAGGCCAGCGGTGTTGACAAGCGTCTCGGCCGTAATGGTGGACACGTCGCCGCCAGGGCCGTCCGAGACGTCAACCTCCCAGCCCGCGCTGCCGGGCAGCGAAGACGCTCCCCCAGACAGAGGTCGGATGTCCGTCACTGGTGAGTTCAAGGCGACAACGCCGCCAGCTTCTTCAAAGAGGCCCCTGAGGCAAAGCATGAGGCCGTGCGAGTCGATAATGCCCGTCGTCGGGCTCTCCAGGGCGCCGGCCTCGGCCCTGACGCCCTCGCCGCGCTCGTCCACCTCCTTGCGCGACACCCACCTCACAGGCACCCCAATCTCGTCTTTGCATAGTGCGTGGATCCTCTCCAGGGCCTCTCTCTGCGCAGGATTCTGCGCCACGAGCCACTTGCCCGTCCTCCGGTAGGCAACGCCGTGCCTGTCGCAGAGGGCGTACAGCAGGTCCTTGCCGCGGCGGCACAGCGTCGCCTTGAGGGTGTCATGGCCGTAGTAGATGCCGGCGTGAATGACCTCGCTGTTGCGCGAGCTGGTCTCCGTGCCGACGGCCGGGTGGCGCTCGATGAGCACGGTGGAGGAGCCCGGCTGGAGGGAGAGCTGGCGGGCGATGGCGAGGCCGACGACGCCGCCGCCAACGACCTGAAGTGCAATCTGTTAGCATTGCTTGATAATCAGAAAGCGTTGATCCTGGTTTGGGCATCAGGCGGATGCCGTTGGGTCAAATTGTGGGAGTTGTGCGCTGGTGAAGTGGTTGGTGATGAGGGAGCGAGCCAACTTGCCGCGTGTGTAAAGTCTGCTCTCACGGCCGCCGTAGAGCTAAAGTGCAAGGCCTGGGCATGACAAATTTGGCTGGACGAGCGCGTTAGTCCTACTGCCCTCCTTGCCAGCATTTTGCCTCCCGATCTCGAAGCCGCAGTTGGCAGCTTTTCAGTTGCGGATGTTGGATCTAGGGTAGGATGAGGCCTCATATGAGGGGTGGAGAGCCTGGTGAAGCTTGGGAGGGAAGGAGCTGACGATGCCCCACATTGATTGATATTGAACTGGTGACGATCAAAGCATCAAATGATGGGCATGAAATGACAAGTATTTGATACTACAATCAATATTACAGTTGACTTGATAGCGCGATATGAGTCCTCATTTTTCTGGAAATGATCAAAGTCCAGCAACTTTTGTCCCCTTCGTGAACGGCTCCAATGACTTTCTAGATGCCATCTCAGGGCTGTAGTAGACCACGGCTGCATCGCCCATGTTGCGGTCCGCCACCGCCCAGCTTGTAGAGAGTATCTAGATGTCACGATGACGATAAAACGCCCCATCTAGCGAAGGAGGAAGTAGAAGAAGACAAGACCGTTGATATTACAACCTTTTGTTTCATTACCCAGACGCCAGCCGAAGGCGCCCTGCTACCCAGTTGCAAAGACTTGCTCAGTCAACAAGCACGCGGCTCAACGTGTATCTGCCGCTGCCAATTCCAGCCTAGACAGTTTCCGCAAAGGAATCGTGCTCATCATCACCAATGAAGAAGAAGGAAATTGATGGACTCTCTGATATCGCTAGCTGCATAGAGTCCGTCGCTCATGCGATTCCTCCTCTGGTGATATGTAATCAAGCGTGAGGATACATCATACATCTACGCTCTCCCAGACGCCGCCTCACTGTCATCGGCCGAGGTCGATGACCGGGTAAGGTTCGAAGGGACTGACGGCTCATTCGGAACCGGGGAGCTCGTCGACAACTCGGCGACTTGTTTCTCTATCCATGTATGTCAGTGGGTTGCATACAGCATGAATCGGTCTTCAATTGTGCGAGTGTAGGCGCACAGAAGAATGAACAAACTTACCCAATTCACGGATCCGATGCCGGAGCATCTGATTCTCGCGGGTCAGCATTTGCGTCTCGGCCTGGTAAAACGCGCTTTCATCCCGGAACAGAGACCAGTCCCCGCTCTCGGCACTGATAGAAGTCGCCCGCAGTCGAGGCGAGGCGTTTCGGCTCGGCGTTCTAGACCGGCGCTGGATGTCGGCACGCGCCATCTCCATAGAGTTGCGATGATGAGGAAAGATGGGTGATCGAGAGAAAGAGGAGCCCGAAACGGATGCGCCAGGGTTCCCGGTTGGCGACTGCGTCGAGATGGGGACAGGAAGTGAGCGCTGCGGCCGCTCGGGGGTGGCAGCACTATCCTCTGCGGCGGATGCGTTCGGGTTGCTTGCTTGGAGGCGCTGAAGCTCTAGCTGTTGTTGTCGGATCATATTCAATAGTCGATTCTGAAGGGAAAATTCAGCTTGAGTCCCTCCAACATTAAACGTCAGCATTGCATGCTGCTTACAACTTGGCCCTCCTGCTCTGCCTCGAGCTCTTGGTGAAGCTCGCCCAAGCTCGGCGTTCTGATATGGCGGTTCGACTCTGGCGGTGCGCCGCCGCCATAGGGCTGCGGGCTCGCCCTCATGGGGTCGTGAAACATCTCGCCGGGAGCCGGCACAGCGGGGTCGTTGAGCTGGAGGTTCATGAGGATGGCTGATCGTCGACGGCTGGACGGAGATGCGAGGCTGCGCGCTAGAGAGCTGTTGGATGATCCTGAGAGGAGCTTAGTTAGATGGAACGGCGAATGCAGGTGGAGGGAGGTGAATAGCAACGGCGCAAGGCACACACAGTTGGGCGAGTCTGTTTAAAAGCCGAAAGCAGAATGAATCGGTGCCGACTTACTGCGTGAAGGTTCTCTTTGTAGGCCGGCATTCAAGGCGGCGGCGGCATGTAAGGAAATGGACGCGGAACGAGGCGATCCAGTGGGGGACTCGGAGCGGGGCACGGAGGAGACGTCACCGTTGGCCGCCATAATTGGGGTTTGGCTGGGGTCGATTGATTCGGTAGGTAGGTATGAGAACAAACAGCTGATGAGCTCGGAGAATTGCTCTGGTGAATACGCGGAATTGAGCGGCGAATGGAGATAGAGAGAGAAGAGAGAGGAGGAAGTAGAGGTATTGAAGGGGGGAGAAAGAGGATGGCGTGTAGCTGGTGACGTTTGTTTCGCTTGTTTTCAGTTTGCAACTCTGTATTCCCAGCGTTTCTTCAGAGGCTTGGTCGTCGATTGTCTAGTCTCGAAGACGGAAAGCGTATCGTCAGGTGGTTTCTGAAGGCCGCCGAAGTAGATACTGTAGAGGACGCCGCATCGGTGAGACAGAACAGAGCGGAATCAGCGGAAGCGTCTGGCTCTCTTGTGACGATGGCGAAGCTAGCCTTGCAACACGGCAACGAGTCAAGAGTAGGTAGGTATCGTCGGTTGGATGATGACGAATAGGAAACACCTTGCCCTGATGGATTGGCAAAAGGCAAAAGGGAAGGGCTGCGTCCAGTATTTCAGATCAAACACCTTTGGTCAAAATAGTAGACAGGATTCGATCGATTCGATGCGGGTGGAAGGTAATAAGTGGTAACATGCATGCGTTGCCGGCGCACAAGCTTCAACTCCAACTGCGTGATGTGCTGCTGATCGCGGCTGGACGACAGCGAGAAGGGGCGAAAAGGTCGAACCACTTCCAGCGAGTCTACCGCAGTCCAGTGACTCGCACTGGTCATCAGATCACCGCTCGACAGTGGGCGCCGGCCGCTAAACCGAGAGCGGGAGGCGCTGGACAGGACGCCTGAAGCCCGCTGGGGCGCTGAGTTTCGGGGGCACACGGGGGTCGGGTATCAGCCCTGCAGCATTGGATTTAATGGCTGATTGTGACGCCACCGGCGAGAACCTGCACAATCTAATCCCACATGCATGTTGTGACAGTCCAGTTCTTTTACATTTACAATTCTCCTCCCCGTCGGCCTTGCCTAAACCAGGCATCAACGTCAGTACGAGCGGCAATTGTACAAAAGTCCGTCATCACGAGGACAATCATATCTGGGCGGTTCGTTGTGCACATGTGTCCGTGTTGTTTTTGGCACTACTTTCGACGCCTTTGGATGGACTGTTCACGATCCATGATTGTTTGACAAAGCCCTCCTCACAAAGCCCAATTCCTATCAACATCGTTGACCATCCTCGAGACGCCAAGTGGGAAAAGGAATGCCCATAGTTCCTGGTATATGAGTATTTCTCATGCTGAAGAGACGGGCCGTCCCGCCAAGTCAGGCTCAAAAACACATCGCCATACGCCAGGCATCCTGCTGTACTTCCTTGGCCGCTGACCGTGGCCTCTTTCTCCCTTCCAACAAAGGCAATTAAGCGGCTCACTACTGGAAAGAGAGTTGTAAAATAAGCCTGCAATTCCATATTTAGACCGGATATCATACAAATTCAAGAACCGAACCCTGCAGCAAGTCTGCAGCGACAGGCGGTGGACTGGATCCATCCAGAATTTTGGCCCCCCAAGGCATCACAAGAGAAGAATCGTCGTGTTAATGTGCAAATCCCAACCCTGTGCAGATCCAGCATTCCATGCCAAAAGAGAAGAAGCAAAAGAAATGAATGCGGACATAAGAAACGAAGAAGAAACGGAGAAGAATGCGCAACACCTAGCTCGGTTCCATGTCGTAAACCATCATTGCGGAAACCATTAAAGAGTGTAGAAGAGAGGTATGGAAGCAGAAGAAACTTCGGAGGACAGAGAAGGAGGAGAAATGGCAGAGGCAACACACGGGAAAAGATGGAGTTGAAGGCGAAGAAAAGAAGGGAAGAAAGAAAACCAAAGGCCTCAGATGCGCGAAGAGAGTCTTAGAACTTTTTGCTGGGTTGCCAAAGCGGGCAACTTGTTGTGAACGCCATCCAATTCCTGCTATATTTGCCAAACTCAAGGATTTCCTGGGAAATCTTGCGATTTTCCCTTGTGGAATATTTCCCCTTCCTCCATCTGTGGAAGGAGATGCTGCTTTTTTTTTTTCTTTTCTTATCGCAGCGTGATGCTGTTGTGAAATTGCCTGGCGGCAAGGTCGACGCGCAATTGGTAGATACCATTCTGAGCGCCAATGAAGCTGTGCAAGAAGCATTTAGGTTAGCATCGAATGACGAACATGTAGGCATATCTATGACGATAGGGGAGGGAAAAGCCATCAAGGACTTAAGAGAGGACGAATGATACTCACAGTACGGTGCCATCCTGGCTCCAAGATAGGCCCGACGTGTTGTCAGGCGAGGGGGGAACCTCAAAGACACCATGGTCCGGCGCCAACACCCCTCGAATGGTGCTCTCCTCCCAGCGGGTGGCCGCTTGGTTGACAACAGGCGGGATGAACGGGCGATCGTCCACGGCGGAGGAGCTGTCACCCGAGGCCCGTTCCCTAGCCTGGAGAATCTCAAGAACCGAGAGATACGACGAGTCCTGTCTATCACGCTGATCCCGCAAGGCTGCCATCGTCTCGTTAATGCGATCGATCCAACGCTGCTCGGCCCGCGTTCCGGCGCCAGGACCGCTTTCGCGCAAAAGCTGACGGGCGTTGCGCACGCGCTCCTGGGCCCGTTCCCGATGGTCTCTGTACACGTTGAGCAGCTCGTTGGGGATCTGGTTGGTGTTTTGACGGGCCCGGGTCGTAAACGAGGACGTTGCCGTCGGCGTGGCGCCGGTTCCTCCTATCCATCCCGTTGCTCCTCCACTACCCCGTTCATCGCCAAATTGACCGTTTGGTCTGTCCCTACGCCGCCGTTCGGTCTGGATGGCTTCGAGAACCCTCGTCTCGGCTGGCGTGAGCGGCTGGTGTAACATCTGCGAATTGAAGAGACTGGCCGCGGAGAGAGGCGGGTTCAAGGCCTCTCCCCTCGTCATCCGGGTCTCCAGCAGTCGCGGGTCGATGGTCTGGGTGTCAAAAATGTTGATGTGCTCATACTCGGACTCTTTGTTGAGATCAATAATCTGCCGAACCATGAAGTTGTGGCGCACGTCGGCGATGCCAACGCGACCGCGATCCTCGGTCCACGCCAAAAGGTCGTACGGCCCTGGGCAGAACGCCATGTCTCGGACGGCTCCCGGCCCGCTGTTGGGCCGCGACGACTGGAACGTGGTGATGAGCGGATCAAGCGTCTCGTCTGTCAACTGCGTCGCGTTGAAGATGGATATGGTGCCGTGCTGAGTTCCGACGGCAAGGTAGCTGCCGGAGGTGGAGAAGGACGCCGCGAAGCTTCCGCGGCTGTCCGTCTTGTCATCCTTCTTCTGGCTCTTGAGAAGGATCCTCTGCTTGAGCTCCCACTTGCCCGGGAAAGGTCCAGCTCGCTGATGGACGTAAAGATACGGATCGTCCAAGATGGCGATCAGCAGGCGCCCGTCAGGCGAAATGACGGCTCTGTTAACAAAGTCGGGATAGTGCACGACCTCCAGGGGCTCGGTCACCTCCTTTTGATCAAAGTCATTGAGGCTGACGAGCGTCACGGTTCGATCATTGTTGGCAAGAACGGCAACAGGTTCCGAGTAAGCGCGGCCGTCAACCGGCAAACCCTGGTCACCGGGAGGAGGAAACCAGAGAGTGATGCAGTTGACCCGCTCTTTGGCGAGCTTCATGCTCTTTGCCGTGACCTTGGCCGACTGCTGAGCGGCGGCCGTAAGCATGTTGAGCGCAGCCTCCTCGGGCGACATTGTGGAGTCTTCACTGGACGGCCCGGCTTCAGAATCCGAGCCAGACGAAGGGTTCTGGGGGTTCTCTATTGCACGGCCTCCCTCTCCCTCGAGCCTAATCGCCACAAACTCGCCCGTCTCGCTCCCGCAGCAAAGCCAGCCATTCTCGGCGACTAGGCACCGTGGAGCAAAGGTCAGGTGCTTGATCGTTTCGCAACTGCGGGCTAGAGTGTTGAGCCGCTGAACTTGACGGCTCCCGACCCCACCGGGGTAGAAGAGGTTATGTTTGTTCTCGGCGCTTATGAGGGAACGCAGCTGCCAATGCCTGACAAGAAGATGGAAGACCTTAGTTAGCAGATGTCGACCAGAATGGTGGCAGAAGCGACATTTTATAGAGGACATACTGTGAGCGAACAGGAACCCGAAAGTGCGTTCGCTGGATTCGGGAGATGAGGCGATCGGAGGCATAGTAGCTGCGTAGCCGTCCGGCATCGACATGGTCAGCAACGGCAACGCAGCAGCAGCAGCAGCGGCGGCGGCGGCAAAACAAGGGGGGGCTGCTCACGAAGCATCGTCTTTGCGAGCCATAATAGCGTCGTCGGCGGGTTATTTGTCGCTGCAGTGAGTCGGGGCTCAATGGCCGAGAGGGCTAGCTGCGACGCAGCACCCAAAGGGGGCAGCCAGGCACAGTCTCAGGACAAGGACACGCCTTGGGTGGTGATGATGCGGGTTTCGACGGGCTGCGTGTGCCTCCGGCTGGGTCGGTGAGACGGGTCAATGCAATAAAGAAACTGCGTATGATCTTCTGCGATGGAATCGTGCGGATGCTGATGCGAGAGTGCGTTGGAAGAGACACGGGCGGGCGAGAAGGGTGATGGCGGGAGGAGAAGGTCGTGATGGGATTGGGTTCCTAGTTCTGAGGAAGAAGCCGAAATGCAGCATCGGCGGGCTAAGATGCGAGGTGGCGGGCTTATTCCATCAGTGAGCGAACCTACTACCTAAGCAACTACTAGTAAGGTAGGTAGAGAGTGCATGTAGCGCAGTCAGAGTGCAGCTTGATGCTGGACCTACTGTAAGAGCGCGGATTCCAGGGCTTGAAGCTCTGTGGAGGCACAGCGCCTGACGAGTATCCAGTACCTTTAGGCAGCGTCGCGCGTGATTGTCCAAGCAACGCTGCGGGAGTACTCAGTACTTGTGCTTTGGAGTTCGAGGCGCCAACGAACAGCGCTACTGTATAGCGGCTGAGCGGCTCCCCGGATAGACACACGAGGGCGAGGTGGGTAGATGACGTCGCGCAGGGAAACCAGAAATTGCCTTTTCGAAGTTTCTCCCAACCAGGGGACGAGTAAAGGCGTTGACTGTGAATCAACAGGAGCTACCAGATCATGGTGAGAGGCACTTTTTATAATCTAGACTCTGGAGTATTCTGCCGTTTATTGGGTTGTATTCTAGGATGATCGAATTTGCGGTCTGCACTGTACTGTAGCTGCATCTCATCTGTGCTTGTACTTTGATACTGCAAGTACCTTAGGTGGTTGTGGATCCACTCATACCTTAGGTACTTGTACGTTACGATATTGGTTCTGAGACCCTGATCGCCACTCGACTCGACTGCGGGAAGAAAACTTGAGAAGCATTGATCCATGAAAGCTTCATCGCCCTGCATACCTACCTAGTACTATTGCTAGGACGCTGATAATGGAGGGCCTCGACCTTTGGGACCCTTGCCAAGCATTACCTTGGAAATGGCAGAGCTGCGTCAAGCACAACATTGCGAAGAACCACTGGTCATCACCAGAAGGTGCTCGCAAAGGTGGTACAAAGTTGCGGAAGCGCCCACCAAGTAGGTGCTAGGTAATAAAACATGCATCAATAGACTGGAAAGTTATGTGCCAGCAAAGGAGTGGCACTGCATCTAGGCAAGGGGGCGGGCGAGGAAAAAGCAAAGACACCAAGGAGGGAGAGAGGAGAACAAAAAACCAGGCAGCGGCAGGGTCTTCGGACGCGGCAGCTTTCCAGTGATGTTTGCTTTTGGCGCCTCTCTGGCGGTATGGGGCGTTTCTTTGGCTGAACTGATGATGCTTGGAGTTGCTTGAGGTACCGAGAATATGCCGACGCCTAATGTCATATCGAAGCCTTTCGGGACCTGCAAGTTGCTCGACACTGAAATCAAGTGTCCATCTCTATAGAAGCTCCCCTGAGCCAAACCTGCCTGCAGAAGTAGTAGAGGCAGTGAACAAATACTAGAGTAGTTCCGTTGCTCGATCAAAGACAACCAAGCATGGGAATATCCTTGCGTTTACGATATGAGGTGAGATTTGCCCATTGAGCCGATCGTAGCCTCGTCGTCCGCGTTCTCTTCCTGCCGCGGCCCGCGATTATGACGGTGAACTCCATTTGCCTGCAAGCATTCTCCAGATGTTCGCCGCCGGATAAACACCTATTCCGCCATCGCCGGCGCGGCGGGTGGGACCGGGACTGCGGGACTGCGCTGTTGCCTCTTTCTCTCGGCTTCTATGGCCGACCGTCGCTGCGCCGAGCGGTTTTTCCAGGCTAGGAAGAAAAAAAAATTCACTTCTCTCCACCATTTTCTTCTTTTCAGCCTTTCCATCTCATTCCTCTCTCCATATCTAAAACCTCCCATCTTCTCCTCCCAGATTGCGAGTCTCGTTCTCCTCTCTGTTCCTCGTCTTCCTTTCTTCACCCATTGTATACCCTCAATTCCATTCATCATGCTGGCTGCGCGATTCTCCCGAGCTGTAAGTGACGCAATGCCGAGCTGCCTCGTGTGTGTCGATTGCTTTGCTAACATGCCCTCCTCTGAATAGCTTCCCCGAGCCTCTCCCCTCGCCGCTCGCTCGGCTGCCTTTGCCAGAACCCCTGCAGTCTCCAAGTTTGCTCGCTATGAGTCAACAGCTGCTGAAGGCAACGGCAAGGTCCAGGGCGCCGTCATCGGTATCGACCTGGGAACCACCAACTCTGCCGTCGCCATCATGGAGGGCAAGACACCCCGCATCATTGAGAACGCAGAAGGTTAGTACTAGCTGCCCTTTGCTTGGCGCAAGCCCACGCGACGCAAAGCCAATGCCTCATTTTCCTCGTGGCATCTTCCTCATACTGACCCATTCCCTTCCTCAGGTGCCCGCACCACTCCCTCAGTAGTTGCTTTCGCCGAGGATGGCGAGCGACTGGTCGGTGTTGCTGCCAAGCGACAGGCCGTCGTTAACCCAGAGAACACTCTCTTCGCCACCAAGCGTTTAATAGGTCGCAAGTTCAGCGACGCCGAGGTCCAGCGTGACATCAAGGAGGTTCCCTACAAGATCGTCCAGCACACCAACGGCGACGCCTGGGTCTCTGCCCGAGGCCAGAACTACTCTCCCTCTCAGATTGGTGGATTCATCCTCCAGAAGATGAAGGAGACCGCCGAGGCCTACCTGGCCAAGCCCGTCAAGAACGCCGTCGTCACTGTTCCCGCTTACTTCAACGATGCCCAGCGCCAGAGCACCAAGGACGCCGGTCAGATCGCTGGTCTCAACGTTCTCCGTGTCGTCAACGAGCCCACTGCTGCCGCTCTTGCCTATGGTTTGGAGAAGGAGGCTGACCGCGTGGTCGCCGTCTACGATCTTGGTGGTGGTACTTTCGATATCTCTATCCTGGAGATCCAGAACGGTGTCTTCGAGGTCAAGTCTACCAACGGTGACACCCACCTTGGTGGTGAGGATTTCGACATCCACCTGGTTCGCCACATGGTTTCCGAGTTCAAGAAGACTTCCGGCATTGACCTCTCTGGCGACCGCATGGCTATCCAGCGTATCCGTGAGGCTGCTGAGAAGGCCAAGATTGAGCTGTCCTCGTCTCTCCAGACCGACATCAACCTGCCCTTCATCACCGCCGATGCTTCCGGCCCTAAGCACATCAACCTGAAGCTCACCCGTTCCCAGCTCGAGAAGATGGTTGAGCCCCTTATCAACCGAACCATCGAGCCCGTCCGCAAGGCCCTCAAGGACGCCAACCTCCAGGCCAAGGACATCCAGGAGGTCATCCTGGTTGGTGGTATGACCCGTATGCCCAAGGTCGCCGAGTCTGTCAAGTCCATCTTCGGCCGTGACCCCGCCAAGTCCGTCAACCCCGACGAGGCTGTCGCCATGGGTGCCGCCATTCAGGGTGCAGTTCTTTCCGGTGAGGTCAAGGATCTCCTCCTCCTCGACGTCACCCCTCTGTCTCTGGGTATCGAGACCCTGGGCGGTGTCTTCACCCGTCTGATCAACCGAAACACCACCATCCCCACCAAGAAGTCCCAGGTCTTCTCCACTGCCGCCGACTCCCAGACTGCCGTCGAGATCAAGGTCTACCAGGGTGAGCGTGAGCTTGTCCGCGACAACAAGCTGCTCGGAAACTTCCAGCTCGTTGGCATTCCCCCTGCTCGCCGCGGTGTTCCTCAGATCGAGGTCACCTTCGACATTGACGCCGACTCCATCGTCCACGTCCACGCCAAGGACAAGTCCACCAACATGGACCAGTCCATCACCATTGCCTCCGGATCCGGTCTCTCCGACAACGAGATCCAGCAGATGGTTGAGGAGTCCGAGAAGTACGCCGAGTCTGACAAGGAGCGCAAGGCCGCTATCGAGTCCAGCAACCGCGCTGACAGCGTCCTGAACGACACTGAGCGTGCCCTTGATGAGTACGCCGACAAGCTCGACAAGGCCGAGGTCGACAGCCTGCGTGAGAAGATTGCCTCCCTCCGCGAGTTCGTCACCAAGATCCAGTCTGGCGACAGCACCGCCACTGCCGCTGAGATCAAGGAGAAGACCGACGAGCTCCAGGTCGCCTCCCTCAACCTCTTCGACAAGATGCACAAGGCCCGCAGCGAGAACGCCGAGCAGGCTCAGCAGTCCACCGAGGGCGACAAGAAGGACGAGACCAAGCCTTAAGATGGCCTCTTTTGTAATGGCTAGCGACGAGCGAGTCTAACAAAAGTTCATCTGGGGTACCAAGAAGGAAAAAAGAAGAACAGCACCAACAAAAACACAAAAACAAGAATATCCTGTATCAAAACCACATCTATTGTTTCGAATATTTCCAAAGGAGCGTGGGCTGGGCATAGATCCCTCTTCTTGCTGTATTTATGATGTACTCATATCCAGCCTAAGCTGCTATGCACTTGCCCTGTTTGTTTTCTTACCCATGTTGTTAATACCTTTGGCTGGCGGAACAGGCGTTGGAGCATCAAAAAAAACCATCTAGGAGATGTTTTTTTTTTCTGACTGATACTATTTTCTGATACTTGGTTTATGAATGTACGGTCGTATTGGGCGGTTTGGGCGAAGAGGTAACACGACAAAAAGAGAAAAAAACAGACATTAGGTAGTTAGATGATAATGATTTTCTCCCCTCTTTAAGTTCTATCCATTTGACTGAGTGATTGTGCCGAAGAAAGTTGCCGGTAGTGATGCTATCGCAATGACACAGCAACTTCAATTTCCGCTTCTAAGCCATCCACCCCCACGATGTGTTCAATGCGTTGGTCCCATGCCAACTGTTATTGAACCCTTTCTCGTGCATATCTTCTTTCTGTGCAGCCAATTCAATGATGCTTCCATCCCCCCTCCATGGACTGCCATGTCCGTCTGCAGGCAGCCCAGGTTGCTGCATGCCACCACTCTCTACACCACAGCCCTCTTCGCGGAGGAGAACATGGCGGATATCTGTAGCGCTTTGAGGAACCCTTCCCGAGCGCACAACAAACGGCTTCATTATAGCGGCTTCATCGAAAACCATGTCTGGCGGTGAGCCTACGGTGCCGTCTATAGGGATGTGTTGCTGCCCACGAAGGCTTGTGCGCTCTGCCGCAGCGCGGAAGGTGATGGCTACGATGCAGCTGATGATGGATATGCAGAGAAGAACGGCGAGGAATGGGAGTATGGCTGCTGTGTGATGATGATCATGGTTCGTTTTGGGAGAAGAAAGATGGTCAAACGGCGACCTGTAGCCCGGTGCCATGGCTGGGAAAGAGTGCTTCAATTCAAGTAGATCACCATGAGAGCGAGAAGATGCTTGGACCATACTTCGTGAGAGGGCTGTCATAAAGACACGGCTTGTTACTCTGGATCGAGATTCACAATGCACCATGCTTCCCGCCTGTTCCTGTCGGCGCAGGAAGGTTTTGACTGCTTCCCCCTCTTGAAATGCAACTCCATTCCAGAGGATATTTTGAGAGCATGTTGATGCTTTCGTGAGCGTGACTGAGTTGTGAGACACGCTCGTGACAGGATCTACTAGGTGCACAATGCTACTACATACCATTGTTTGCGCGAGCAGACAAGAGTCGACAGTCATTTAGGTAGGTAATAGTCATCAGTAGATGAAGATATGGCAAGCATGCCTGCCGTAAGACTAAGCTCATTGCAATCAGGGGTTCTTTTCTTCTTCTGGCTCCATTCTGTTGCAGTGTGCAACTCATGCGGATGAATTGACACTATTCTACCTCCCAAAGCCGAACCAGCTTCTCTTAGCCTTTTGAGCAGGTTTCTCGGCCTCATGGGCAACCTCGCCCGCCTGATGGCTGCCCGCCTGAACCTCCTTGCCGGGGTAGTGGATGTAGTTCCAGGCCACATCGAGGAAGATGGGCTTGATGGGGATCACTGCCTCTCGCGGGGGGAATTCCACGATGCGGTTGAGATCAGCCCCACCGACAGGATACTCTTGCAGCTTCTCCACGAGGGGAAGGTCGCTTTCGTATTCGACAGCCTCGGACTGCCTCTTGCGCAAGTTGTCGACGTGGACAATGGCGCGGTGGCGCTGCAGCTCGCCATCAATCACTCGTTCAACGAATTCAAGGGAGGCAGGGGAGATATCGAGGCTCAGGGGGAGCTCATCGGAAATGGGCTGCTGGTTCGGCAGCTTTTCCACGGCTTGTAGGCTGAGCTCCAGGGCTCGGCTGATGAGGGCCAATGCATTGGCAGAGTTGCCGATGATGGCGTGTGACCGAGCGATGGCAAGGTGCCTATGCGTGCTTGTTAGTCATTGGCCCTTCCCGTTTACTCCTCCCAACGTTGAGAAAGAGGTGGTACTTACTTGAGCGCAACAAAGTAATTCTCGTAAGATTCGATCCGGGCGGCAAGTTCCTCATCGGCGGCAACTCCGGGAAGCTCCTTGATGGACTCCAAGTTCTGGAGGATACCATCGTACAGCGCAGCCTTCTCCTTGAGCTTTACAAGCTTCTTTCCAGAGGGCAATTCCCTTTCTTTTCTTGCTTCGGCAGAGGCCGCATCCTTCTTCTTGCCCCTTCTTGATGAGCCGTACTCCTCCGTAGCACCATCGTGGGGGCCTGTAAGAACCCGGTTTCGACCGATTCTCCAGCTAATCATCTCGTAGTTAACGGCAGTGCGAGTAATCTGCAGCCGCTGCATCCTGGGATCACTTTGAGCAACACCGTCGCCTTTAAGCTCGTCAATGGCCTTTTTTGTGGCATCAACCGCATCCTGGGTGGTCAACAGGATCTCATCATAGGCAGCAGCCACCTCATGCGGCCTCTTGTCCTGGGAATTGGCAATGGTCTGGGAGAGCCGCTCCTTAGCCTCACCGACAACCGTCCAAGAAGTGGCTATCTGGGCATCTTCGATCTGGACTTCGTGGGCTCGCCAAGTGAGGGTCTGAGGGGCAGTGTCCCCGACCGCAATGCCGTCTCCAGCGCCCGTGCTTGCCTCGGCAAGAATGGACGCATCGATCCGGTTGATTTCTTGAACCAATGCCTCATCCGACTGTGGGAAGGCCTTCTTTGCCAGAGTAGCGACGGAAACCGTTCGGGGCGTCTTGAGCTGGTAGGCAGCGAAACGAATTGACGGCTCGACGGTCTCGGACAGCAAGTCCTTGAAGATATCGCTCTTGGTCGCTGTAGCAAGGGCGGTGTAAACGACGTACGTCACGGCGTAGCTTCGCAGGCAAGGTTCCCAGCTCTGCTTCTCGAATAGCATGGCGCCTCGGATGAGGGATGCATAAGCCCGCGCCTCGAGAAGGTCGGTGGCATTGGCGCCAGATACATCGGTCTGCGATAGAACGGTAACAAGCTGCTCGGCGCTTCGAGCGGCCTTCTCGAGCCGGGAGACGATGTGAGACCGGGCGCGGCCGACGACGCCCCTTTGGTCGTTGGCATGGGCCGCCTTGATGCTCATCGCCTGGGCCCAGGCGCGCTCGCTGGTGAGGAGGAGGAGATGGACATGTCTGACAGCGCAACATGTGATCAGTCAACTCGGTCAGTTCCTGCTCCTCCGCTTGGCGAGGAGAGTGGCGAGGCGGGTGATATCATACTCAATGTTTGCCTGGACATCTTCGGCGGTGACCTGCTCCGGCTTGCGGAACTTGCCGCGGTTCTTGGTCACGATGCCCAGCTTCTTGCGCGAGTTGAGCAGGCGCTTGGACAGCTGGCCATGGTATGTCGAGAAGTCGCCGTACAGCAGAGCCTTGTCTCGGCCCTGGACGATGAAGCTGGTGATGTCCATTTGTGCGATGGGAGGCGCCGCCTGTTTGGACTCTGGACGTCAAAGTGATGCTCAGGCCAGCCTGTTCTGCTGCCAGCTAGTAGGTAGGTGATGGCAATCCCAGCAGCCTTCTCTTTTCTTGGACTGGGATTGGCGGGGATGGCGGGGCATGTCTTTTTTCCGCTGGACAAGGCACGAGGCGCTCAACGACGTGAGGCTGGAAATTCGAAACTCAAGGCCTCGTGCGAGGCTGCTTATGTAATATACCATCAGAGCATTGATACCTACCTTAGGTACGGAAGGTACCTTACTCACAGGACCTTGGACTGAAAACATGAAGGCATGTACGGAGTACCTAAGGTAGGTACTAGGCAGTACTTGGATTTTGGAAAGTGGTGCACATTCACGGTCCAAGCTCTTGAAACCGCCTTTTTACAAATTACCTACTATCTGTAATCTATTTGACGGAGACTGACTCTAACAGTAGAGCTGGACGTGAACGTAGTCTCTAGTAGACTGAACAGCATCTACTGAGCATCTACCGAGCTCCATGAGAGGCTCTTGGGCTGCAGTCCTCTCCCCCTTGAGCCAAGTGCGCAACTTGATCCATTCATCAGACGGCTAGTAAGTATCTGAGTGCTTGTTGCGCCGCTGCTTCCAAGTTGCTTGTTATTGAAGCGGTTCGTAGATACATAATACCTACCTACCAAAGCACCAAGCACTGTGTCCGCATGGAGACGGTCAGACGTACATGTCGGTTGCATGTACTCTGTAAGGTGATCAGATCAAGGGCAAGTGAAGTCGTCCTCGTCAAATCAAGCATCTTGGCACATCAAGCAGGGAACGAAGCAATTCCACTCGAGTTGCTGCGTTAGTTGGATTATGCTATAGCAGCCGGCCGATCGTGTACTTCCAACAAAGTAATCCCGAATTTGCTTCTCGAGCTCGATTACGCTGGTTATGATATATGACATGTCGTCGACCGCCAATCACTGGGCAGAGCGCGGCTTATCGATCCGCAAGGCGAGACAAAAGACAACGCAGACATGAGTGAAACATGTCCTAAAACATCACGCCCAGTCGTGTTGATGTTGTGCGCTTGGCCCTTGCCAGCGAGACCTTGATGAGCTGTCCTTCAAGCTGTCTGGCTCGATCGATGCCACCCGTGCAGGTTGTCTGGATCGAATCCACTGGCGAGCAGCACGGCAAGCCAGGTGTCTCGAAGTGCGTCTCGAGAATCGAGAGTCATTGACATCGAGCTGCTTCCACTGCGCAGGGAAGGCTTGAGTCCTTGCAACATTGCCTTGGTCCTCGTTGCGGCACAACTTCGAAGGACAGAATGGCATCGCACCATCTGGCCACTCAACGTCAGCCCTCGTCAATAGTTGCTGCATCGACATGGGTAAAACCTGGCATTCGCTCACTACGCAGACAAGCAAACACGGCTCGGAAACTTTTCTGCTGCACCCCCTGCAGCTCCCATCATTTTTCAGCTTGGATGGTCTGAAGCTAGTAGCCCTGTGATGACCCAGCTTTGCGACGAGCAACCAATACTGCCGTCTGCCTTGACGTCGACTTGGACGCGGTTGACATGAGTCGCTGTGTTATTGGCCACATCACGGCTAGCAAGCTCCTCGCACCCTCTCGCCCCCGGACAAGTTCGATCCCGGGAGGAGCTCAGTGCATGATAACGTGTCACTTGTCTCTGCATCCCCTCTTTGTGCCGTCCTTGGCTTTGGGCAAAGTGCTGGCTAGTCTTCCATTGCAGGATTTGGCAGCAGTAGTGGACGTCGGCGTCGATAAAGTAAGGCAAGGGAGAGCACACGTAGGGCATACTTTGCCCAGCACATCAGCCAGTACCCGACGACGAGCATGCAGCCAGGCCGTGTGTCTCGAGGCCTCATGCTCACGAGCGACGGCCATTGGCAGCAGCGGTCGCTGGTGGCTGCGTCGACCATTGCCTGGCGCCAAAAGCTGGCTGCGACTCGTGTCAGCCATGCATATTGTGCGGGCGAAGTTGTTGGGAGGATTCTGGGATGATTTGACAGGAGAAACTCAGGCCATCAGCCGTGGCGGCAGTCAACAGTATCAGACAACTGACATGGTGCTGCCCAATACTCGTACGCGCCGCCCGGCGGTCGGCAATCGTCGATATCGCTTGGGGGGGGGGGGGGGGGGGGGGGGTTTTGGAGTGCACTTTCAGGGATCACGACAGCAGGGTGGTGGGTGACTTTGCAGGACGAGATACTGGGCGCTTGCATCACGTGGCCACCTTGTCCGGGGAAGACCCCCATCCAGAGCCCCAAAGCTCCAGAGGAAACCCCAGGGCAATTGAGGGGCTGCCTTCTGGCTGTCGAGGCCGCTGTCCAGGGCTTCTGGCAGCGTTCTGGCGGGCTCCTCCGGGGGATCGGGGGAGCCCAGCAGCAGTGGGCAGCGATGCGGGCGAGATGGACCAGTCCACTGAGACGGGGCCTGATGGAGGGCGCACGGACGGGACCAGCGCTGGACGATCCCTGTCGCTGCAAACGGTGCTGTGCAGGTGACCTACTTGGCTGCAGTAGCCGCAAGCGCTTTTTTTGGGGCTGGGCTGGTTTTGCTTCGAAAGTAGGTAGGTACTAGTAGTAGTATGTATCAACAGACTGGAGTCTGAAGCATCTGGCGATGGTGTGCGCAGCGGTAGCAGCGGCACTGACAAGTGGAGGGCAGGAGAAGTAGTACTATTACTTTCGGGAAACCTACCTAGATAGAAAGGATGCTCTACTCACTGTGTCGTTTGGATTGAGGACGATGGATTTACGGCTCTAGGCGGGACGAAGACAGAGGGCAGAATATCGATGATGCCAGAGAAGACCGAGCCTGCACCCAAAGTAAGACATTATGAGGCTTGGATGGCGTCAAGTGTACTCGGGCGCTGCACTGATCTGAGATCCAAGTACAAGTGCAGCCCAGGTAGCATCGGCACGATGAGTGGTGTCGGAAACCTGGTGCATGTTCCGTGAGGGTCGCTGACAAGCTGCTGCGGCTCAGCTGCAAGGGAGGACGGCTGCTCCGAAGAGTTGCGTGTGCTCCCGTATTGCTGCGGCTGATGGATCGATTGCCTTCCAGGCTGCTGCCAACAGTGCCGCCTCCAGTCCTCTGCAATCACATGCTTCCCCGTCTTCTTGTTGCGGGCTGGAGTCGCGGAAACGGCATCAAGGTTTGCATCAGATATACCTACCTGTAAGGTATCGTACCCCAAGAGGTACTCCTTCCTGTAGAAAACCGCCTTTCCTACCTATCATGCCGGGCAGTCAGGTGATGCCTTCACCTGCAGTCAAGACAGATTGAAGATGGATATCACGGGTACCTCTTGATACAGCACGAACATGGCATGGAGGCGATCAGCAAGAGTCGAGCGGTAAGGTAATAGCAGATCATGGAGCACTTTCCACCATCCCGTCCCCAGGTGGAGGTGCCTCGCCGTGCTCGCGAATGTACCTTTAGGTATTCCGTACCGTAGAGCCACTTCCAGGCCCTCCAGCGCCCCGCTCTTCCAGCTCCTTCCCACTGCTGCAGCCATTCAGCATCGCCCGATACTGCTCGTTAGCACCTGCCGCCAGCCTCCATCCGAGGAGGTAGGTGCCTACTACCTTAAGTACCTAAGGTACCTACCTACCTAGTAGTAATAGTATTACTGTACTGTACAAGCAGGAGCTGCTATCCCGCCAGCCCACTTTTTTCTCTTCCACTGCCGCTGCGACCTGCCTAGAGGCAGAACATCCAATGATCCTACAAGAGAGACTTCACTCACTCTCGCATCTCCAATAACAACCGCAAGACCGGGCCTCTCTCTCCTCTCTCCGGCTACACTCCCTGCCGCTGGTGTGCCGCCTCTCGTTGGTCCTGCCCTCCACTCCGGCTGTTGTCTCTGCTTCGCCCCCCGTCACAAGCCGCCTCAAGACGGAGTCCTCCGCGAAAGCAGGGAGAAAAGCGCGTTGCTGCTCCAAGACAACATCTGCATCATCACGACAACCGGGATCGCGGCTTTCCTGCAGCCGCTCTGTGCACTCGCCAGCTGGTGTTTATGCTGCTATATAGCCATAGCTATACCTTGGGCCTTCAGCAGTACTTTTTTCGCAGCCGGTTTTGTTTTACTTTCACCTCCTCCTTTGGCTTTTTCTATTCTCACATTTCAACTTTTCCTCACGCTTCCCTAGGTATTCGCCTCCCACCTCTTTTTTTTCCCGCCTATTGGAAACGCCATCTATGCACTCACCTCTGGCTCTCAACACCTTCCAATAGGTCGCCTCTTTCCTCACATGACTTTCACCTTTCTTCTGCCTTAGACCTTGGGCAACCTTTTCTTTCTCTCTCTGTTTCCCTGTCAATCTTCTACAACGCAATCTCTGGCTCTCGACCAACTTGCAGTGCCCTCACGTACCAAGTATCGACTCGGTCTGTGAGCCACACTTCGCGCTCGCCGCCACCGCATGAAGAGAGAGGGAGAGAACGCAGACCCGATTCATAGACCTCACAATACCTCGTCTGCCCCCGTTCGTCCTTGTTCGCAAAGCCGTCTGTGTGATGACGATTTAAGCTTCGTTATACATGCGGTAAAACGCTCCATCTGTTTCTCTGCCCCTTCTACGTCCCCCTCTGGCTCCTGCTTCTGCATTCTAGAGGCTCTCTGTGTAGCATTCGGCGCTACTCATTATTGCAAATGGCTACAAACGGTAAGCCCTATTTCTCTATCTACCTCTCTTCATCTCCGACCTGGCATGTCGAAGCAGTCACCGCAGCTGCCTATCAGGATAGGGGTGAGGATCGATGGTGGCTTGCCTCCATGGTATCTGGCTTGCCTAACCTCCCACTCGTCCATATGCCTTGCACTCTTCCTGCTTTCCTCAAGTGGCTTTGTTGGGCTCTACTGATATTCTTCTAGGTGGGCCGTCGCAGCCTCCAGGTCCCCATCTGAATATGCCGTGGATCCCGGCTTCGCATTCTCATCCAAAGCGCCCGTATCAAGAGTATAACGACTTTAATGTTCGACAAAACGGGCCGGGCCAGTTTGCCAACATGTGGCAGCCGATGCCCAACATAGGCCAGCATGCGGACACCACTTCTTTCACTGCGTTGCTCAACAGCCCTCTCGAACCATCCGCCACGAGCTCGCCCATGACAGGCTCGCCAATGATGAGCCAGCCGGTGATGAGCCCGCAGATGGTGAGCCCGCAGATGTTGAGCCCGCAGATGTTGAGCCCACAAATGGTGAACCAGCAGATGGTGAGCCCACAGATGATGAGCCAGCAGATGGTGAGCCAGCAGATGGTGAGCCCGCGGATGGTGAGCCCACAGATGATGAGCCAGCAGATGGTGAGCCCGCGGATGGTGAGCCCACAGATGATGAGCCAGCAGATGGTGAGCCCACATATGGTGAGCTCGCAGGTGTTGAGCTCGCAGATGGTCAGCTCGCCGATGGTCAGCTCGCAGATGGCCAGCTCGCCGATGGTCAGCTCGCCGATGGTGAGTCCGCCGATGGTGAGTCCGCCGATGAGCCGACCAATCATGAGTCGACCGATCATGAGTCAACCCATAATGAGTCGGCCGATGATGAATCCGCCGGCGATGAGCCCTCCGGGCGAGGATGCCCAGGCACAAACTGCTCGACTTCCCCAAGTCCACGCCTTCATGCGCCCAAATGAGAATGCACAACTCCAGAGTCATGCCGCCCCCTTTCATCGGCCTAGCATGCCTCCTATGCCCTCTCCTACCGATGGACACGAGCAACTCCCCAAACGCCAGCGAGGGAGGCGCCCAGGGCCGCCTCGTCTGCCTCTTTTTATGAGGGAGATGCAAGCTGACCACGCGAAGATGGCGGCTGAGCGTGAAGCTGCTGCTGCTGCGGCGGCTAACCCTGGATCATCCACCGTTGACTTGACGAAAGGTATGAGGAGCCTCCGTGACTTACGATGAAGCTGCTGTTGTATGCTTTTGCTTACCAATTACTGTCCAGTCAACGACCCTCCGAAGCGCGTTGAACCCAAAGAAGAAGAGGTCTGTTACGGCATGGTCAAGACCCGCGTAAACTGCACACAAATTCCTGCGCCGAAGCCGGGCGCAGACAGCATGTGGGGGCCCAGATATCAGCCCAGCATCAAGCTCATGCTCAAAAGAGCGGCCGATGATCATTCCTTGCGAATTCCTGTGTGTGACCACACCAGAGATATTGTCGGACAAGTCGATGTGTCCGCTAGCAGAGCATTGGCGCCTTTGCTGGACTTCAATATCCGCATCAGGACCGACTGTCGCATCCCCCCGCAGCCCGCTACCCCGGGCGAAGAACCTGGTCAGCCTGTGTCGCGCTCCTACCGATTTGAAATCATCTTGTATGGGCCTTTCAAGTACGCAAAGAATGTCGGAGCCATCCTCGAGCGGTTTCATTTCCGACTCCACAAGCCTTTCATGCTTCCGAAAGGCATGAAGTTCTGCAATCCTCACGCTCCTGATTATGCGCGCATCGCGAAGAAACAGTTGTCAAAAGCGATTGCAAAACGTGAGGCAGACCGCTCTCGGAGCTCAAACTTCACCCCGAGAACTGTGGAGGAAGTCCGCTCGGAGGTCATGGGGGTCTTCGATTCACTGACCAGGAGTGACGAGCTACCAACCATGACTCCCCCAAGATCCATTGTAACGCCTCTGCTTACCCATCAGAAACAGGGGCTTTACTTCATGGTGTCAAGAGAAAATCCTCGCGAGATGCAGCTGAAACAGAAGGGCATGGTGTCGTTCTGGCGGACCAAGATCAACCTGGATAGGCAAATCGTCTATCACAATGTCATCACGGGCGAGAGCCAGCTCGCTCCACCTTTGGATACCCGCGGCGGCATACTGGCTGACATGATGGGTCTCGGCAAAACACTCAGCATCTTGTCGCTCGTAGCAACCACCATGAATGAGGCACGACAGTTCCAGTACCTCCCGCCTGAGCAGCCGTCCGCGCCGGAACCCAGGCAGGCAAACCGTGACCTAAACGCGGCGCAGGCAACACTGGGCCTTACGCCCCTGACCCGCAACACCAAGTCGACCCTGATCATATGCCCTCTTAGCACAATCACCAACTGGGAGGAGCAGATCAAACAGCACACAGCCACTGGTCAACTTTCCTACCATATCTACCACGGTCCCAACCGTATCAAAGATGTGGCGCGGCTGACTCAGTTCGACATCGTCATCACAACCTACGGCTCCGTCTCTAACGAGCTCAGTTCTCGCCGCAAGGCCAAGACGGGCAGCTTTCCCCTTGAAGAACTCGGCTGGTTCCGCATCGTGCTAGACGAAGCACACATGATTCGGGAGCAGTCGACAATGCAATTCAAGGCTATAGTCCGGCTTCAGGCCCAGAGGCGATGGGCGGTAACTGGCACTCCGGTCCAAAACCGACTTGATGATTTTGCCGCCCTCTTATCGTTCCTTCGCTTGGAGCCCTTCCACCACAAAGCTAAATTTGTTCGTCATATCGTGGAGCCCTTCAAGGCTTGCAACCCCGACATCGTGCCCAAGCTCCGCATCCTTGTCGACACAGTCACACTTCGCCGCCTCAAAGACAAGATTGACCTGCCTTCACGGGAGGACCTTATTGTGAAACTCGACTTCAGCCCAGAGGAGCGTGTCATATATGACCTATTTGCTCGCAACGCCCAGGACAGAGTCAAGGTTCTGGCCGGAAACCCCACCTCTGGGGCTCTTGGCGGCAACACGTACATCCATATTCTCAAAGCCATCCTTCGCCTGCGCCTCCTCTGTGCACATGGAAAAGACTTGCTGAACAAAGAAGACTTGGCTGCCCTGAGAGGCATGTCCGCAGATTTGGCCATCGACATTGATGAGGACGATGACCACGCCGAAGGCGCGCCGTTGTCCCATCAGACAGCTCACGAGATGTTCACGCTGATGCAAGATACTAACAATGACGCGTGCATACAATGCAACAAGAAGATTTCCCAGGAGCAAAACTCAATGGACGCCGAGAAAGAGGACGATACGCTAGGCTACATGACGCCTTGCTTCCACGTGGTATGTCAATCGTGCATCAGGAGCTTCAAGCAGCGAGCCAAGGCTGCCCTTCCGCCCGGTCAGCTTGCCGGCCCCTGCATCGTTTGCAACGCCCATGTCCGGTTCGGGTTTGTCAACATCCGCCGTTCGGATGTAGAGGGTGAACATGACGGTATTCTCAAACCCACCAGCAAATCGGAGGAAGCTGCAGCAGACTTGGACAAGTATGATGGACCTCACACCAAGACCAAGGCCCTCCTTGATGATCTTCTCAAGTCCAAAGCCGCCAGCGATGCCAATCCCCAAGAACCCCCCTTCAAGTCTGTTGTTTTCTCAGGCTGGACGTCTCATCTAGACCTGATCGAGCTGGCGCTCAAGGAAGCAAATATCAAGTTCACCAGGCTTGATGGCAGCATGACACGACAGGCGCGTACTGCCGCTATGGACACCTTCCGCGAAGATCGCAACATTCACGTCATTCTTGTCTCCATCACGGCTGGTGGGCTGGGCCTGAACTTAACCGCCGGCAACAACGTGTATGTTATGGAGCCACAGTACAACCCAGCGGCTGAAGCTCAAGCGGTCGATCGTGTGCACCGCCTGGGTCAGAAACGCCCCGTGCGCACGATCCGGTACATTATGCGCAACAGCTTTGAAGAGAAGATGCTCGAGCTGCAAGACAAGAAGGTGAAGTTGGCGAGCCTCAGCATGGACGGACAAAACAAAGCGCTGGACAAGGCTGAGGCTGCGAGACAGAAGCTCATGGATCTCCGCAGTCTTTTTAAATAAGACTGCCTGTTACAAAGGCCGTACTACTATCACGCAACGAAGTCACGATTTTCACACGGCGTCTCTGCCGTTTCTGCGATTTTCATTCTTATACACGATATATTTGACATATTCAGTTGCAACACACTCGCGGGCTTTCCATTCAGCATCGCCCCCCTCACCTTTGATCTGGCCTATGCACTTACCTGGGAAGCATCATCCAACCACTGATTCGTATGCAACAGCTTTCTCTTTCCGTGGGTTTGTTCCTACAATGCACCAGCGCCTCTCAAGGCTTGGGGCGGGGGGGGGGGGGGGGGGGGGGGGGAGGGAACCGTGGAACCCCCCCTTTTGTTTCTCTTATTATTCCCCTGCAACCTTCGCCAGATCACCTTGCCTGGGTGCGGGACAAGAATGGCGTGCAATTCAATTCACACGGGAGCGGCATACTCTGGTTCCGCAGCATTCTTATACCGAAGCTCTCGCGAGCCACTCTTGATCTTAGTGGCGCCTAGGATCTGGTGGTATCTGCCTCTACGTTCCTTTCTTTTCTTTTCTTGTCTTTTCTTTTTTTCTTTATTCTTACAGGCTTGGGCAGGATGAGGGCTTGGAGGACTCGGGTAAAAACGATTAGCATCTGGGAAATTTCTTATATACCGATTGATCTATATTTCGCTCTGAAAAACATGAACGTCTGCTTGCTTGCGGGGAATGGTAGTCTCCGCCCTTTCCGTGACCGTTTCCCCTCTTCACCAAGCTTATCTGTCCATGACAATCTACTGTATGAGTACAACCTAGCGGATGCCGATACTGAAGACCCCCTTTGGCGTGATGAGTTCAAGATATACCCACTTCTGCTTTCCAGACTCTTGACATGTCCAACGCCATTACACCAAAAGATCAACCATCATTAAGCAAACACTCAAAGGTTCCGAAAGCTGTCGTGAAAGGGCCTGTAGCCCGAACCCCTCCGTCATTAGTCTCCATTTCTGGATTGGACCTGTTTACGGCTGGTCATCATCCTCTATCCCAATGGCAGCCCACTCAGTGCCCTGGTTCACTGAGCTCAGCCTGGCGCAGAGACTCAGCAGAACGACCGTCTCGGTTGCGGCGTAGTGATTCAGCGAGTCCGAGAGGATCTTCATGTGGCGACCAAAGTTGCTCTCCCACTTGCGGACGAAGTCCGAGAGGTGCGTCACGCGAGCCTCGGCGTCCTCCTGGCTCAACGTGTCCTGCTGCGTTGATGTCGAACGGGAGGGGGCCGCTTTGGCGGATTGGAATCGCTGCCATTGATCATTCGTCATGTTGTCGGGTTTGGTGCCGCTCGAGAGGTCGGGATCAATCTTTTCGAGCTCGCGAGTGAGGAACCCGGTGTACTGGGAGAAGATGGCGCAGGTTTGCATAAGCTTCGAGTTGACCTGACCAATTCAAGCATGTTAGCGGGAGGCGACTGAGGAGCAGATCAAGAGAAGAAGACGGCTACGGGATGGGGATTCGAGCAAAAGCATCTTCGTGGGGGGAGCATTACCTTCAACAGCTTGCTGTTCGTCAACATGCATTCCTTCAGGCACGTGTCCAGAAAGTCTACATGGTCCTGCATCAGCTCGTCCACAGTCCGGTTGAAGCTGGATTTTCTATCCGACGTCTCGTCCTTGGCTTTCAGCCGAGACATAAACTTTGTCCAGTTTGGCTCGATGACCTCAGAGGTGCAGAAATACAGCACCTGCTGCACATATACGAGCATTCTCCCTCGCAAGGTCCAGGCACGCCTCTTCAACGTCTCGAGCTCCTGATTTGGACTCTTGTGAGACCAGGTCACGGCTCGGGTGTGTGCTTGCCACGTTGACGATAGCTGAGACTCTAGGTAGCGTAGATGTAACAGAAAGCGGAAAAGCGCCTGGTAACGCCAGACTGTCTTGCGGCTGATTACCAGCGAGACAGGGAAGGGGACTGAATAGTCCAGCTGCAGTGATGTGAAGCCTGTTGCATTCTTGTCTGGTTCAATGGGCTGTTGGTTAATTACGGGCTGCATCACTTGGCCCGACTCTATGCCCGTGATATTTACAACTCGCTGGAGGTTGTTGATCAGGGTGATCTCGTTCATCTCCACCTTGACATCCTCCTTGAAGGGGTCAAGTGAGGAAACAGTTCCGGGTTGGCGCAGGACGAGATCCAGAAGCGACTGAAGCTTGCTCGTGTTGACATTCTTGGCCGGCTTCCTCAGTTCGGAGGAACCCAGCTCGAGGAAGTAGGAGAAAGAATCGGATGGGTCGAGGAAGAAGTAGAGCTTGAGCGAACGTAGTCGTAGTGGGAGCTCGTGCGTTGTGAGAAGGAGCTGCATCAGGGACTCGTTGGCATGAGCGTAGGCGTTGTTGACGTTCTCAATAAATCGTTTATCGTCGAAGGAGGTTGGCAGTTCGGTAACGATTTTGCTCACATCTACTCCACCACATTCGCGAACGACGTTGAGATACTTGCCGGCCAGCAGCACTTTCTCCTTGACGCCTTCCAGCTGGGGTGGTACATCCTGGTCCCTGATCGTATACCTCCTCTCCCAATATTCATCGATATAATCCCTTTCGAGCCTCTCTCGCCCGATGCTCTTCTGTTCCCTGATCATGAATTCAGAATGAGGGTCGTGTATGCTGCCATGGTGGAGCCACTCATTCAACATCTTCATATACGGCCGGCTCGCATCCCGGAGTAATGAGGTCAGCAGGGATCGAGCAGCCGGGTCACCACCCATCGATTCCAGCCTTGAGGCCAAGAGACCCAAAACACCTCCGCCCTTGCAGACTTTCAGGGCCTTGGAACTTCCAGGAACTAAGTCCCCTCCTTCAGCGAGCCTCTCAAGAACCTTATCGTAGTCGTCCACTTCATCATCCTCTTCCTCGTCGCTTTCGTCATCTAGTAGGGCATTCTTCTTCAGGAGCTCTTGTGCCAACGAATAGAGATGGGACAGCATCTGACATGTAGGTAGAGTGTGAATGTTGAGAACATGGACAGTAAAGGATTCGCTCGTCAGAAACTGTGTCTCGAGCTGGGCAATCATGACTAGGTAGTCTTGCAAGCACTTTCTCACTGACGCACACAACGCATGGTTCACGGCGCCAAACTCTTCGCGGCTCTGCACGTCGACGAACGCTTCCAGGGCCGAGTAGTAGGTTGCCATTTTCAGCATCGACTTGGTCAGATCGTGTAGGCTGGGGTCTAGGCCGGGCAGGATACGAAAGGGCGGCCCGGACAGTCGGTCCCTCTCCTCTGTGGGACTGTAACCTCGAGCATATCGAATGTACTGTCCCTCGTAGCCCATGAAAACATACAACAGGTCTTCGACGATGGCTGCCTCCTGAGCTTCCAGCGTCAGTTCGTGCAGGGGCTTTGGCTGTGGCGCTTGCGGGATTGTGAACGCAATCGGAGGAATCGAAATTCGCGAGGCAAGGGCGGCAGATGTGTGCGGGAGCAACGTCGCCTCCGGGTTCCATGAACCTATGGGTGTTCAGATGGCAACAGTTAGGTTTCGATCGAAAAGGCCAGAAAGAGAACTAGATCACACTCTTCGTCTTGCCGCTCGGCTGCTCTAAGAGCCTATGCGCCAGGTAGAAGAACTGATAAGGGAAGGAGTATGACCATACCTGGCGGGGTCTCTGCTCGAATATCTCTCTGCCGCAGGTCCGTCGACGACTTTTGTCTGCGCATCTCGGCCGGTCTCTTGTCTGTCTGCTGCTGCTGCTGCTGCTGCTGTTGTTGTTGCTGTTGCTGCTGTTGTTGCTGTTGCTGCTGCGAACGCCGTTGCTGCTCCTGCTTGGCTGGACTGGCTGTCCGCGGTGTGCCTCGCTCCACATGAGCTTCAAAGGTCCGCTCGATGACTCTGCGCTCATCGTAGCGCCTATCGTCCCTGGCCTTGCCCACGCGGCTTGCATTGCTTGGTGATGGCCGCTTATGTGATTCGCTGTCTACCAACTGGGGCGCCTCTGCATTTCTCGCATCCGCTGTGCCACTTCGAAAGCTTCCATTGGCTCCAGAGATCCGGGATCGCTCGTCGGCAAAGGCATTGGCGCGGCTAGATGCCCTCGTTCGTACGCCAGACGACATGCCGGCGAGCTACATCCGAAGATGTAGACGACTATAGATGCAGAGACAAGTCGTCCTGGATCAAGAGCTGAAGGAGAACGCCCCTCACCCTGTGGCTGTCATGGAGGTGCTGTTCTTTTGTTCGCGATTGCTTTTTTTCGGCCTGTTCCTCCGTCTCCCCTTGCTCGTCTTCCCGTAACAATCGTGGTGCTTGAGAAGGTTTGTGTCGATGCTGAGGGTATAAAATGCAGTTCATTGGTTTATGAGCTGCATGCGCCGCAGTCACAATGTCATAACAGGCACGCAGGCTCCTTCCTCCGTAGCTACTATGGAGCACCTGCTCTATGTACATAGCCCATGGTGGGGTGAAACACGACCATCAGTCGCGTCGCGGTTGCCATTCCGTGCGCCGGATAAACCACGCTTCCGCTGAGAGACCCGACTCGGAGTTGTAGCTGTACCTGCACTGTCGGCTTGAAAGGCAGCTACTAGCTCCCTGTGGCGCCAACTGTGTGGCTGTGGCCAAGCGCTTCTGCGTCTCTGGCCCCCCCACCAGACAGACCAGGTAGGTACTAGTACGTATTCGATTACTGGGGATCTGGAGCATGGAAGCTGCCACTGGATGCGTAGGCCTAGTGTTTGCCTGATAGCAGTACAGCTTCATCCTTCTCTCAGCCTTTCCTTGCAGCCTCACATTCGCCGTTCGCCTTCCACTCTCACTCTCTGCCAGCGACTATCTTGCTCTGTCCAAGCATCAACTGGCATCTCTAGGCCAACTACAACCGCACAATCAGTCAAGATGTTTATGGCAAGATCTGAATACGGCAAGCAGCTTCCCCTCCTTCATCCTCTCTCCCCTCCCCAAGCTTCCTCTCTGTGTGCTCCCTCATTCACGAGGGCGTTTCAGAGGAGGCGCACGCACTGAGTGAAGAGCTTCATATCTCTTTTCTTTGGAGACCCCACCATAAAGAGCAACAGACAAGAATTTATGCTGACAGTTCCCTCTCACTTCCAGACCGGGGAATCAACACCTTCTCCCCCGAGGGTCGTCTTTTCCAGGTGGAATACTCACTCGAGGCTATCAAGCTCGGGTCGACCGCCATTGGAATTGCCACATCCGAGGGCGTCATCCTCGGCGTCGAGAAGCGCGTCACATCCTCCCTCCTCGAAACCTCCTCCGTCGAAAAGATTGTCGAAATCGACCGCCACATCGGCTGCGCCATGTCCGGCCTTCAGGCCGATGCCAGGTCCATGATCGAGCACGCCCGTGTCGAGTGCCAGAGCCACGCCTTCAACTACAACGAGTCCCTCAGCGTCGAGAGCTGCACTCAGGCCATCTGCGATCTGGCCCTGCGCTTCGGAGAGGGTGCCGACGGAGAGGAGACCATCATGAGCCGGCCCTTTGGTGTCGCGCTCCTCATCGCCGGTTTCGACGAGAACGGCCCTCAGCTGTTTCACGCAGAGCCCAGCGGCACCTTCTATCGATTCGACGCCAAGGCTATTGGCTCAGGCTCGGAGGGAGCGCAAGCAGAGCTGCAAAACGAATACCACAAGGTCAGCATCCTTTTCTCCCCCGTTCGCAGTTACCTTCATTCGTCTTCGAATTAGCACTGCCTTCCTCCCGCGACATCCACTGACGAGCATGACAGTCCTTAACGATCGCGGATGCGGAGACGCTGGTTCTCAAAACTCTGAAACAAGTCATGGAGGAGAAGCTAGACTCGAAGAACGTTCAGCTGGCCAGTGTCACCAAGGAAAAGGGCTTCAGAATATACTCAGACGACGAGATGGCGGCTGTCGTCGATCGACTACCATCAAACTAATGAGCTATGCTACGCGTAACGAGAATAGAAACCAACTGCAATGCTTGCATTCCCTTTTTATTGCTTTCAAATAAGTGACCAAGCAAGTGACTACAACAGCACTCGATCATGCACCCCTTGTGGTATCACTACTACATCCACGAGAGACTACCATCTCCGGTAGGTAAGATATACGGTACGAGAATCTCAACACACAAAGCGGAATTGCCGCAATCAAACTTCATTTTCCTTGATATCAGATCTCTCATAACATGCCCCTCACTCCTCTCCTATTTCCCGATCCCAGGTTCCCATTACTCCCCTCATAGATGCGGTCACAATTGCTCACCAAAAAACAATGAAAAGAGATATCATGCCTTGACTGCAACTCGATAGCCATTTGTGACTGCGAGCTTGTTTGCGTTTCAATCAACTTGAGCCTTGTGTTTGTTCCTGTTCTTCTCTCTCTTGCCTCTTTTCTTTTCACCTTCCTTGTTCTCATCTCTCTCCCCTTGATATCCTTGTCTTTCTTTAGTGCTTCGTTTCTTCTTCTTCATTTCCCGTGCATTTGTGCTCTCTATGATATGCGTACCCTTCTAGAACATCACACATTCTATATCGCTTGTTAGTTTAAATCGTCTCGTAGTTCGAGCCTCGCGAGTTCTGTTTCGATTGCTAGTATCCCGATTGCGTAATGTGTTCTTTCAGCCTTGGCCAGTACTAACCGCCGTTCCTCGCTCGAGTCTAGTTCGTCGATTTTCTTGTCGATGCGGCGAGGATTTTTCCAAATGGTAGAAGAAATGTCGTTGATGATTGTTGGTCGTGCATACTCCGGTCCTCCCATCTGGCAAGCCTTGATCCATGCCGACTCACAGCCACAGGCAATCTGCATCGCCGATTGCCAACCAGTGAGACGCGCAACGTCATGCATCCTCTGGATGACCCAATGTCTTTGCGCAGTGTCATTATACTGAGAGGCTGTCAGCATGCTTCACTGTAGAGAGGCAATATCCGACAAAAGAGGAGCAAGGCGGCCGTTGAAATGGGGCTGTACGAACCTGTATACCTGCAACAAATACGCAGAAAGAACTTTCAATGAGGGCAGCGCCAAGATAGGTGTTGATTTCAGTGTACTCTGAACAGTCGGCAGCAAGTCCTGAGGCAATTTGCCCAATCTTGAGCGCGAAAGCAGCCGTCTTCTTCGCCGTCATGCCCGCTGCCCTCATCGCAACCGGTGGCATCGAGGGGTGGCTTCGATATAGATGGATGAACCCCATGTAGTAGTTCATCCATATGCCGGCAATTGAATATGTTCGGAAGTAGATAGGGTCTCCAAAAGGTGTCTTTGTCCTCGTCTGACCGTCAAGCTCGTCACCGAGGGGCTGGAATTCGGGTCCGAGACGGCTCTTGAAGACCTCAAAGGAGTGATAAATGGCATTCCATTCCTGCAACGCAGCTTCGTAGCTGGCTTCTGGGTCAAGGTCTTCCTGCGAATCACTGTGTGGCGTGCCGTCTCGTGGAGGACTGAATCCCATAGGCGCCTGCACTTTTCCGAACATGGGGAACATGCCTGGAAACATAGGGGGCGAGCCAGTTCCAGCACCGCCGCATTGAGCGTCTATGACCTTCTGTTTCCGGGACAAATCCTTTGACACAAAGTCTGAGAGGCGGCCGAGCAGGAGTATCAAGTGATCATAGGTGCCATATCTGAAGTGGAGATGTCAGCCTCACAGGTCATCGCTCGAAGTCCTAATGAAAGGAGCATGAGAGTGCTGCACACGTACGCGGATGAATATGTCGAAAAGGGAGCCCTTGGAGGGATTTGAGTCCAGTGCTCGTATTCCATGCTGATCCTCGTTTAGCGATGCATATTCAGCGCATGGACGTGATGGAACTTACAATAACCTGGTTCCACCCAAGATGCTCTGGTACACATCCATCTTGCAGTACCACCAAAACAAGTCGCAGATGATGTCGTATCTCTCAATTTCTTTGTCGCTCACTGGAGAACGCCTCTCATCAGAAGGTTGATGCTCTGCATCACCGTAGTCTTCGGGAGACACGGCGAGTCCCGTAATGGCATTCAAGAAGCCATAGTCGAGAGAGCGCTGCCCGCTCTGGGCTGGCGCTGCGTGGGCATGCGAATGGTAAAAGTAGGAGCTTACATGTCCCAGTTGATAGCCTCCAGCTTCCCGTCGTTGCCTCATGCGCTTCGCTGGGAAACAAGCCCGAGTCATGTCTCCCAAAGACATTTCGCGGAACAAGATCCTGGCACCAAACAGATGGTTGCACCACTTGGTGTGATCAGATGACCAAACCTCAAAATATCCGAGCAGCAGAGTAGCAGCTAGGGTCGCGGGCTGTGTCCTCCGGGATGGTGACTTCACATTCTTGGCTATACGACGTATGGCACGATGGTAATGCCTCAGAGCTGCCGTCGGGGGATTATCTCGAAGCTTCGCCAGTTGAAGGCTTGCCAATGCAAGCATTGCATGAAATAGGCCCAGATGTTGAAGAGCCAGTGAGGGGATGGCGTCTGTCGAAACTTGTCAGAGCGGCTTCTACCTTTGTATCTGAGATATTTCGGTCAACTTACAGCTCCATAAGCTCTGCCCAGTACCAGCTGCGGTGCTGCTCCTGGCTCTCTGCGAAGCGCAAGAAATATCTCCTTCAAAGATTGAGATTCCAGGACCAGTCACATTGATGAAATGCATGAAGATCGTGTTTAGGCCACTAGCCCAGAATTCAGAAGAATACGGTGTCTCCATGTGTGCCAGAACATCGTCGTTCTGGGCAAAGGCGGAAAAGACGTTGGCATCCACAGCACTCATGGTCCAACGCTCTGGCACCATGCTCTTAATTGGCAGCAAGTTGCCTCGAACGTCCGGTAAATCATCATCAGAATCGGGTAACGATGCTTCGTCATCCAGCATGTCTAGTCCCCACCGATCATTCAGGGGCTGTGTCATGGCGGCTCCTGTGTGGACATTGAGAGCGTGATCGCTGGTCAGACGACGGAAATCGCCAAGCATATCTCTGGCAGGGCCGCCATCTTGGATAGAGAAGAATTGTGCCTCGGGGGGAGCATGGGTATAGTGAGCATGTCCTCCGTCGACCTCTGTCGCAAGCAGGGGGTTGGGAAACTGTGCGTTGTAAGGTGCCTGTAGCAACTGGCCGGGTCCCATATTGTAAGCTGAAGAGCCTTGTACCAACGGTTCATGGTGGTATTGCTGCTGATACGGCGCGGCACTTGACTGCAGAGGCAAACCATGGTGACGCTGGTCAAAGGTCGGGGGTCTCGGCGCGATGGCTGGAAAGAGTCCCCTTGAAGACTGACGGTGCGTAGCCAAAGACTCGTCAACGATACTTGGCGGGCCAGGATATATTGCCTGGTTGAAAGGGGACGAGAAAGATCCAAGAGGTTCCTTAAATATGACCCTCTGGCTATATCCTTCGCACTCTCGTCTCGATTTGATGCAGTTGTGGCAAATCGGCCTGCCTTCGTCGCATTTGATGCGTCTCCTACGACAGGCTAATGATGAAAGCTTATGTTAGATCGCCTTGAGGTAAAGGGGGGAGCTGTGTGTGTCGGCGTTGGGCGTAAAGGGCAGTACAAGTGGAAGCAAGAAGGGAAGGGACAGGAGATCCAAAAAATCACGAGGTTCAGCTGTGACTTACTGAGACAGCCAGTTTTGGTTCGCTTCCTTGTTCCCGTCTTCTTGCGATTCGCCTCATCTTTTCCTCCGTCATTCTGCTGAGATGAGCTCCCTTGGGGTTCTGGCAAGCTGGCGTTCGTGGTTGTAACAGCTGGTTCCTCCATGATACGATTCTTTGCTGCGGGAGAGAGAGGGAGCTGGATATCACACCGCTAACAGTTGCCCACTCTCGTGATGTCTTTCCGTGCTGTGAAGAACCAGACACCGGTTGATGAAACCGTTTCAACAGTGATGACGCGAACCTAGGCAGCTCCAAGACAGCTTGTGTGTTGGGGAGGAAGTATATATCACCCTGGACCGCTCGGTGGGATATTTTGCCGGAGGGAGAAAGAGAAGATCAGCATGTGAGGGGACGGGGCAGGGTGGACGACGGCCTCGAAAGCCGCAGGCGGTGCGGCGGAAGAGAAGAAAGATGACACCACCTGCTGCTGTGCTCAGCCACTAGGGGTGAAGAGGATGGTATTAGCACAACTGGCCGACAGTACGAAAGCATCAAGTAGTGGATGGACAAGAGGAGAAGAGTAGCGGCAAGTGGAACATGGCTGGTGTAACTCGAGCGCAGCGCAGGCCCAGGATGAGGCGTCGAAGACGAGTTCCAACTGAGGTCATGTAACAGTGACGTTGGTAGCGAGGCGAGACACGATCAAGAGAAAGGAATGGAGATCGGGGGGGGAACGAGTCAACGCTTAACAAGGGAGCTAGCTGAAGGTGGAAGAAGCGAGGAGAAGAGTCAGGTAAAGGAGATGGCTTGCAGTGCTGAAGGGACAGTTCGAGGTGAACAGGCGAGTGGAGGAGAAGAGAGAAGCAGAAGCGCGCGGAAGGCAGAAGGGGAGAGAGCAAGCGCACATGCGAGTGAGAGAGATAAGCAAGTACCACTTGGTCAAACTTCCGTGGGGTTTTGCTGTCCAAAGTACGAACCTGGGTAAACAGATAATGAGTAACTACCTGTAGCACCAGAACATCTCGAGATCTGTGACAAGGTGTTGAGGGTGTGGCGGAGAAGGGGGAGGGGTGGAGCAAAGAGACGCTCGAGAAAATGGAATGCTGCGGTCGCTCAAGCCAGGGCAGGTACTCCCCACCACTTTCCTGAGCGGCGTTCCTGGGCCCAACTGCCTGCCACCTGCTACCTGGGCCTGGGGTAGCTCTCGATGCCTCGAGTTAGTGCTTGAGGTATCGTGCGGGCGGGGGGCGTAGGTGAAGCTACTCTCTGCGGCACTGCAAAGTAAAAAGAAGGTACTACCTACTGAGGTAAGGTAGTTCAAGAAGCGCAGCAAAACATGCCAGATGCCAAGTACCTACCCAGCAGTAGCAATCGGGAGGTTCGACAGAGAGGAAGGATCAAAGATTGAAGGAAAGAACAGATGCTGCAATGTGGTGGGTAAATTCATCAACGGCAGGAGCTCAAAAGCAGTACCTTACCTACTTCCTACTAGTAGTAGTAGGTATGAGTATTCAACCCACAGTAAAGTAAGGTATGATAGACGTAACTTGAAATCAGCCGAAAACCCACAACACTGATCCTACCTTGCCTCTTCCTAAGCCCACGATGGCGAGCCGCTTCTGACAGAGACGAGTTGACTGACAGCAAACGAACTCCGACTCGAAACTCGTTCGACAGAATGTAGGTGCATGTACATATACAGGCTGTTGCGTCGGCGGCAGGCAGTGGAATCGGTAGACGCAAATACCGCCTTTTTTTCTCTTGTCCTGTCTCGTCTTAGAGCAACCGGAGCCAGACGGCTAACAAGATGCGCAGACAGAAAGGGGATCAGACTGTACCTCGATTAAAAGATCTTGGTGCCTCAGGGAGTCGGCAAACCCCCCACAAGAGGTACCTTCCCTTCCGATTGAGGCCCGGCCAGAAGAAGCAAATCGATCCCTCAGTTTGGAGCCGTACCAGCGACCACAGATGCAGCTCTGTCTCTCTGTCCCGCAGCGGGAGTTCGCAGGAAGGTCGCAGCACAGAGGGGAAGCGGGAAGGGGGCGTGGACCACAAAGAAGGTCACGGTGTATCTAGGATGCCGGGATGTCAAAGGCGCCAAGCTGAGCGGATGATACCGCTGTTGGTCAACACAGAGTCTAGAGCGAGACGGACGGGCTGACGGACTGAACACAGCTCCTCACGACGCGCCTGGTCGAGAAATGAACCTCATGCGCAACCATAGAGTTAATGCAGATGGCGGAGATCAGGGTATCGAGTGAGTTGAGGCAGACTTTCCCGGGGGGCGGTGGTGGTTGCTCTCTCGATTCTTCCCCTCCTTTATCTCATCACTTTATCTGTTCAGGTGGGTGGTATCACCAACAGTATTGGTCATCCGAATCTGCAAGAGAGTAAAAGAGGAATACAGTCACTTATTTTTTTCCCCTCAGATGCCGGAACCGAAGAGCGAGCAAGAGGACTATCCTATATAAGCAAGAGATGGCGTCCGTTACCTTGTTCATGGCAGACAAAGAGGGCCCCCTACTAATCTCGCAACTCTGACCGGCCATCAGCCCCGGCATTAGCCTAGATGGCTAGCTATGCATGTTGGACGCCCGACCTTCATCTTCGCTGTGCCAGCTTTTACCCATGCGGAGTCGACTCCCGCTGCTCCCCATGGTGTTGAATCTTCGGTGGGCACAGGCCAGCTTGTGAACAGGAATTGGAGTCTGCTTCGAGAGCTGACAGCGCCGTCGTGGATATGCGTCCATTGTCCGATACGAAGTGTCTTATTCTAAAGCTGGCCCAGTGGGACGACTTTTTGCTCCTCTGTTTCTTTGCTGCACTTTTCCTTCTACGGCGACGTAGATGCCTGTTAAGTATTCTCAATGGAAGAAAGCAACAGAGTGGCCGCAATTGGATTATCTCCAACCACAGGAACGGAGACAGAACAGCAAGTGAGCAGATATGAGAGGAGAGGGGGGATATCGAGTGCAAAGAGACGGGTGTGGGAGTGAGAGATTGGATGAGACCTGAAGAAAACAGCAGTGGCCGATCCGCATTGGTGAGTAGCCGCACATAGAGGCCAATGGATACCCCAGACCGTAAGGAAAAAGCTGAGATCTGACGGTTGGTGTAATTACTGCTAACTGGCATTCAATACTGCGGATTCACGGCACGCAGCCTCGCGCAAGGTTCGAAGTCGACGCCAGACCGCTTGGCATTATATTCGACCATCCGGCTCTCGTTGTTGCATCTGAGCAGCCACCGGCAAGCAAAACAGAGCAAAGCATGCTGGCCTCGATCCATGTGACAGCCAAGACTCAACCGGTCCGTTCGATGGGCAGATCTGCCAGCCAGTCTTGCTGCCATGCTATGGTATGTGGTATGCTTGCATTGCCGAATCTCGATAGCTCCCTGTCACCCATATCACCCTCGACCTTGGTCCCAGCGCGTCGGGCTTTCTCAGGCATCCGGAGTGAAGCTCCACATCTCCCAAACAGTCTGTGCCAACAATGGCCTCAATGTAAGCATCAACGCGACAAGTAGCGCCACGGCGACACGCTGCGTCGCACAGCCAATGCTCAGTGACCTCGGAAGTTCGTTCGAGGTTGCAAATGCCAGTCCGCGCCAGCCACCCGGGCCAGACAACAATTACCGCTCGGACTCTGCCCTGTTGTTAGTGGATCTTCACAATTACCTAATAAGGCCACTAACCGTAGCCTCGCGGGCTGCGGGAGCGGCTGCTCCGTAACGTTTCGAAGCTGAGTGGAGACTTCGGGATCCGGGATCGAGGCGGGACAGGAACGGCAGAGGGACACGGAGACAGGAACCACGCAAGTACCAGGCAGTCCCTATCCCTTCACAGGGAGCACGTGGAGCACATATCCGAGGTACCAGCCACATTCAAGACGGAGTACAGCTCTGGTCTGCTTGCTGCACAATGCTCGTTGTTTTACGGAAGATGCGAGAGCAATAACAGGGGCTGAACGCGGCTCCGAGGCCCGGCTGGTGTTCACGTCTCAATCACATCGAGAACCATCACCACCCTCGAGTCCTCCTTAGGCGCTCTACTGATGACCCTCACTTATGTACTGCCATCCATTCAGCCGCAAGATTCATGGCTGCTTCTCATGAAGTGCCCCGGCCTGCGAGACATCGTCACTCTAGATCATGCACCTCATAGCTGATCCGCCGCCGCTTATGCCGGTCGAATGATGTCTCTGTGGTACACAAACTTGTTGCCACGTGCTACCCAAAGGCTCTGGACTCACAGTCCCTCTGGCATGACCTTTACCGCTTTGCTCTCGTGGATGGAGCCGGAGCCGGCGGCAGCACTGCAGGTACGACAATTTTATTGTCGTTATCGTCGCGATGGACGGACAAGATACGCCACTTCTTCGTAGCGGCTTCCTGCGTCATCTCCAGGACCACAAACCTCACATGGAAGGATGCTCAACAGGCAAGGGGTGTAGGAACGAGTCCATGTCAAGCCAGAAGCCAAGGCACCCGGAGATCTAAGTATTGCCATGCCTGCAGATCCAACGTTTGGAAAGCACTTGCTCGCTCGCAACGAATCATGGTCAAGACTCTCAAAGCGCCATAAGGATTTCCTACCTCTTTATTCCGGGATAGTACGAGACTACAGCTCAACGACACTGCCAGGAACTTGCTTTTTCCTCCCGTCTACAATGACCGCGGACATGTCTGAGACCGCCGCTTCCACACGGCCGTGGTTCCCTGCCATGGCCATATGTGTAAGCTCTTCGCTCCATCTCTGTACGCGTGCAACGACAGGGGATCGGGGGCCGACCAGATCTGCTGTTGTGGACGAAATCTCTGTAGTACCTCGCCGGTGTGTCGGGAGCGGGCGAGAGAATATCCATGCCACCATTGCGCTAGGGTAGTTCATTACCGCTCTGTGGCCCTGGCCAAGAGCGCAACGCAGGTTACGCTGTGCCGTGGCTCGCGTTTGGGGACCACAGCTCGCCATGCAAATACCCTCATTGTCTGTCTCATGCTCTGCCGTCTGGACTCGATCTACTGGGAACATATGTGGGTGCAATGACCTTCATATCTACAGCAAGAATGGTGGATAGATCGTTGGATTTGTGACTGCGGATATGAACTCGGCCTTGCTTTCGGATTCATCTTCATCTACAGGAGAGTTCCATGGCCTTGGTA